AAGTCACACAATACAAAACACCTGTCTTTGTATAAGCTCGATCAGTTTCAACTAAAAATAATAACAAACAAATCTAATCCGATTACAAACAATCACCAGTAAATACTATTATTCAACACTCGAGAGTGTCAAACTTAACCTCATCCAATTTACCAAGCGAATCGCAAAAAATACCCATTCATCCATTATAGACCAAAGTTCACAGCGAAGTAAATTACATTTTACGCTGACAGTTTTAAAGTCGATTTTAGAATGTTTTCATTCAAATTAAATGTCTTTAGAAATTGTTGACGTACATCATTGAGGCATCCTTTTGTATAATAACGCACAATGGTTAATGCACCCATGACTTTTCAACAACGACATTCAGTACTAAGTACTTTTATTTACCAAAATATAATTTACAACGCTTTTGACAAGAACAGTCTTGTTTCTAATGAAATAAAGTCTAAATTTATTATGTGTGACAGAAATAGACTGTTTAAAGTAAATTTGCTTTCAGGTGGGTAATTGAAATTTTGACTTTAGAGAAATCGTGTGACGGGGTAGAGTTGCGTGACGAATCTGTGAACACTTTATTTGAATCGGGTTGAAAAAAAAAACATTCAAATTTCTCTTAAGCGCTGACAAGACGTATAGTTAGTACAAGATTGAATTTTACGTTGTTTTTTCTACGGTAAGCACAAAATCCTTACGAGTACTATAAAGTTTTACAACAAACGAATTATGTCAATGTCAGTTTTTTTCCTTGCACATAGTATTTTAGGACACAAGAGTATCACATAAGGAACCTACTAGCTAGGATTAGCACATAGCTAAGGGCACGGCGTCACTTACCCCCGTTGCATTGTAATAATAGACATTCTACCCCACAACATGGAAAGAGTGGTTACTTAGAGTTAATAAAATAGTATGATGGTGCTAACCCATATAATTAGTAGTACAGCTTAGTAAAATATGTTTATGGTGGGATTGCCAGTGCAACAGTTTCACGCTTCACTAGTCCTAGCTCTTCACTAGTCCAGGTGGACGAATACGAGAGCTCAGCCTGGAGGGAGGTTTTACTAATACCTTCCAGATTCTTCCAAATTCTTCCAAAACAGTCCGAGAGCAGCTGCTTCTCACACATTAACCACCGGATCGGACTATGGATCTTGATATCCGCCGAAGAGCCTAAGCGCCAAGAAGCTAATGCTATAAAGTGAGCGTCTTATGAAGTCCTTCGCCGAGTTTGACAAGTTCGACGAGTATGGTGGACTCTGCTGGATGCTTTGGAACTAGTGGCGTCTAACAGAACTGAGAATGGATCAGGCAGGTCTATCAGAAGTTGTCTGAAACATTCAGTTTATCAAGTATCATTATCGCAGTAGCTGTAAGTTAGATCGATTCGCAACTTATAATTATTAAGAGATTCTTAGCCTACTGCGACCCAAGATAACATTTATCCATTGCTGCCCGACTTGTGTAGGATCCTAAAGCAAGTTCAGGGAATTTTGCAAGCTGTATAACTGTAAGTGTGACAATTTAGGAGCATGTACACATCGATTTAAAAAACGTTTTAACTCTCGGCCGCTCCAATTTTACAAATAAAAAAATAAATTAGCTAAAAAAATACGCATAATAATTGGAATTTATTTCAATCGGTATTTCGCTTGTTTCAATTACAATACCGCACATCTGTTCCGACACTCCCATGCGTTTAGCGGTCTTGTGAAATAAATAAATCGTATTTCGCTCCCCATTACAAAGTCAATGCGCGCGCATAATGTTTTTCGTACAATGACAGTTTCAAAGTAGGTAGGTACAGTTCAGTGGGAACTGTCAAATGCAATCTTCCAATACCTAACGTCCATGCGCGACTAACATTCTCATGACACTTGCAGGAATTGCTGAAAGGATCAACAAATCTTTATTTATAAAAATGAATTGCTGTTCTTTAGTCTCGCTAAAACTCGAGAACAGCTGGACCGATTTGGCTAATTTTGGTCTTGAATTATTTGTAAATGTCCAGAGAAGGTTTAAAAGATTAGATAAATATGAAAGTGCTCGGAATTAAATAAAAATAACAATTTTGTTTTTCCTTTGATGTATCCCCCGTCGGACGGATTCCTTTTGTTTGTTTTAAGTTTATTTTATGTAAAAGCTTAGGTCTTTTATTTATCGATTGAGGCACTAATAAGTCTGCCGGGTCAGCTAGTTGCTAATAAAAAAGTTACATTTTAAAATTTTGAATTGACGTAAGCTATAATTCTTATATAGTGTATTTATTATCTATGGTCATAATTCTGCATGCACGTGTAAAACTTTTTCGAACCGCGTAAATGTACATTGAAAACTAAATAAAAATGAACCGTAACATTTTCGGCTTTACAGATTTAAAGGACTGAAAGCTTCGCTGCAGAAACAGGCTAGACGCTGTTGGTCCAATAATAAAAATAAAACAACGGTTTTACGGATTTTGTTGTTTTTTTCCGCGTGAAAGGTGCACATCAACGTATTGGGTACGTATCAAATCATTAAGGGATACAGAAAGGTACTTTGGTGTCTTGCAGTGGTAAAAAATTAAATAATACTTTTGAAGTCGTCATGGCCTAAAGGATAAGACGTCCGGGGCATTCGTATTTAGCGATGTGTCGGTGTTCGGATCCCGCCGGCAGGCCCCATTTTTTTAATGAAATAGGTAGGTACTAAACAAATGTTCACGATTGACTTCCACGGTGAAGGAATAACATCGTATAATAAAAATCAAACATGCAAAATAATTACTGGTGGTAGGACGTCTTGTGAGTCCGCACGGGTAGATACCACCACCCCGCCTACTTCTGCCGTGAAGCAGTATTTTCAGTTTGAAGGGCGGGGCAGCCGTTGTACTGTTAAAAGTGAGACCTTACAACTCATGGCTCAAGGTGGATGGTGTCATTTACGTTGTAGATGTCCATGGGCTTTTTTTTAACCACTTAACGTCAGGTGGGCCGTGAACTCGTCCAACCATCTAAGCAATAAAATTAAAAAAAAACCTGGGGTCAGCCATTGCATTTCTCGCTTATGGTTATCGTAAAGAATCAATCTACTTTTCATCACATGTCACAATTCGATCCAATATTACTTCATTTCTGTATCGATTCAATAAGGCAACACAAGTTTCAACAGGCGTTTCTTTCTGCAGATCAATCGAATCATGTGTTTTATACCGTATGGTCCATGGGGAATGCTCTGAGGAATTATTCGAGATGATCCCCTCATCTTCTTTTTACCATCGCACCTCCCGCGATCGGAGCAGAGTTCATCCATATTATCTGGAACCACTGCGTTCATCGACAGTGCGTTTCCAAAGATCTTTTCTGCCACGTACCATCCGGCTTTGGAATGAACTCCCCTCCACGATGTTTTCCGACCGCTATGACATGTCCTTCTTCAAACGAGGCTTGCGGAGAGTACTTAACGGTAGAAAGCGGCTTAGCTCTGCCCCTGGTATTGCTGACGTCCATGAGCGACGGTGACCACTTACCATCAGGTGGGCCGTATGCTCGTCTGCCTACAACGGCAATAAAAAAAAGGCACCTATTTTTCATATTTATTTTATTTTATTGATTCGACGTAAATGAGTCAATATTGTTGGTAAGGTAACGTTAAACCAAGCCGCTAATTCCTGGGTAGTTTGGCTCGGATCGGCTTCCACCATCTCTTTCAAATCATTGTTATTCACATGTGTGGACGATCTTCCACGTGGATCTTCGTTCTTCAAATCAAAATTTCCATTACGAAAGCTTTTAAACCAAAATCGCACGGTGCGTTCATTAGCAGTCCCCTCTTCAAACGCAACATTGAGATTGCGAGCTGTCACCGCGTTAGTTCCGCGTCGGAACTCGTATTCAAAAATCACTCGAATTTTCAAAGTATTCATCTTTCTTGTCTAAGCTGAATAAAAAAAACAACTAAAAGTCGATAATCGAATGTTGCACAGTTTTTAAAAGAAGAACCTCATAGGTACCATATGAAAAAAGTTTCTCTCAAGTCTCAAACCATGAAGGTACGTAGGTACCTTTTTATTGCTTTTTATTTTAGGCCGTTTTATTGCTTAAGGTGTAGACCTTAAGCAATAAAACGGCAATTTCATACTTTAACCCCTATAATTAACAAATTTTGTCTTTTTAAGCTGTGTTGAAACTCGCGTGATTCTAATACGGGATTCATCGTAATAAGTACTTTTCTCAACTCATTTTCTTTTATTTTAGTTATTGTGTCGCTTTTCTATCAAAATCTTATTCAAATCAGTGTTAACATCATTTTCATATCCTCTTCGCAAACATCTCGGGAACACCGAACTCACAGAAACCCACAAAAAACTCACAAAAGCCCCGCCAATCGGCCTTTTAGTGTTAAACAATTTTTTTTTTTTTAAATAAACTGACCTTTACAATTTGATTTTTATTCCATATCTATTCGCTGTTAGCCTAAGGGGTTATCCTAACTACGCCCGAACAGGTAGGTTAACTCGCCGCGATCTCAACCTAAGAGAATTTGCTTACACTAGCCGTAGTAAGAACAGAATCTACAACTGGATCGGAATCGCGGCCTATTGAGAAGATCCGGCGAGAAACTCCGTAGGCTGTGTCTATGGGTTAGTTAGCTTGTCGTACTCTTCCGTCGTAATCGACGAGATCGTTGGTTCGTTGATACGATATATCGCCGATGTTTTGGTTTCAACATCGATGTTAAAACATCGATTTGTATGAACGATATCGATATTTGAAAACATCGATGCTTAGGTTGCATCCCTACTTGTGAGTCCGCTCGGGTAGCGAAGCAGTAATGCGCCGTGAGCCATAGATTATACACTTATGTGAGCCGCAATGGACCGTGAGCTGGCCCAATAATCGAAGCAATAAAAAAAACCTAATAATTTTTGGGTTATGAAATAAACTACTTGCATACGTCTACTAATTTTATTTATTAAATAACAAAGAATATAACTAAAATATTTACACAAATAAATGCTTAAAATGAAATAAAATTAATTTAACTTAAGATTCCCAAGACTATTTTGATTATTATAATATTAAACATAAGATACTATACTGGGATTGGAATTTTAAAGCGACTTATTAATATGAATTCATAAATAGTTTGCAGATTACATTTCCATAAATTTGGCATAACACAACACACGCATGAGATACAAGAGGAACTAATAGATAATATTACATTATTCAAGCTTTTCATATTGAAATACTTAATTGTAAAGAATATATTTATCCAGCTATTCCGGCGATCGCCTCCGATGCGAAGTACTTGACGTCGACATCGGGGTCCACGTTCAGCTTCTCCAGGACCGGCTTGACTTGGGGCTGGATGACGGCCGGGTCTAAGTACTTGGCCATTATCTGCAGCGTCTTGGCAACATTGAACCGCACGTTGGCAACATTGTCGTCGGCCATAGACAACACGGTCGGCAGCAGCACCCTGGTCGTGATGTCCTTGCCGCACACTTCGGACAGCACGTTAATGCAGAACAAGTACGTCATTCTGTGCAAGTAGTTCTGCTCGTGCGACATGTTCAGTACTTTGGGTATGACGTTGTTCTCTGCCCACTGCGGCCCGTACTGCTCCACCAGCTTCTTCAGGTTGAGGGTCGCAGCCTCGCGGATGGCGTACACGTGGTCCACCAGCCACGACATGCACAAGCTGGTCAGCTTCTCGTCGAAGAACTCCTGGCCCAGCTGTCCCGCCAGTAGAGGCATGTGCTCGATGATGGCCAGACGGACCCTCCACTTGGTGTCCTCTGCCAGCTCCACGATGGCGGGGAGGAGAGACTGCACAAGCTGCTGGATGCCGATCACTTCATTCACACACTCGAGGTTGGAGATTATGTTGAGTCGGACTTCGGGACATTCATCCTTCAGTTGTGTGAGGAACAGCGGCAGGAGATGTTCAATAGTGTTCTGTCTACCAACTATGGGGCTCAGGCCCATGATGACGGAGGCTAGGGCAGACTTGACGTGTTGGTTAGCATCACACACCAAGTCTTTGATCTGTGGCAAGATCATGGTCATGATTATGTGTTCTTGGTGAGCCTTATCCAAGTTCATACAGAAGTCCTTGACCTGCAAATCAAGATCATTTTGATACTGGTATATTTTTCAAGTTTATAAAACTGTGAACTACCCTCACTGCGTACTATTTGTACATACCTTCCCAGCAGCTGCGGCTCTAACCTCAGCCTCCGAGTCCTTGAGCAGTGCCTGGAATATCTGTGCTAGATCTGTACGAGCTAGCTCTGGACCAACAGCTTGTTGCAGCTCTACGAACCTGCAAATATAAACTGTACTGCTATAATATTGCAAAGTTAAGTAGGTAGTATTGTTGATCAGTTTTTGAAATGTGTATTTATTTCAGCCTTTCCCAAAGTGGGCAATAACGCCCCCTTGTAAGCGCTGCAGGCCTAAAGGTAAGAGACCCAGAAAAAAAAGGGGGCGTTATGTATAGAGGCTTGGGAGGTGATTTGTAATTTCATCTAGGAGGACTCTTAGGTACCGACTGAGCTCTCGCTATAGTGGTTTGTGGGTCGGTGAAAAAATGGGGGCGCTCAAAATAATTTATTCTCAAAGTGGGCAGTAGACAAAATAAGTTTGGGAGCCCTTGATTTATTGCATGAATCAATCACATGTAGACAACGGATCTTTTCCGGGCATAACTGACATTCATGAGCAACTATGTCTGTGACTTTTTTCCCCTGTAGGCTGACGAGCATACCTGATGCTGAGAGGTTACCGTCGCAAATGGCGTCAGCAAAGCCAGGGGTAGAGCCAAGCTGCTGTCTACCACTAATTCATCTTGAGCTGGGCTCTATACTGTGGCGAGTAGCCATCATACAACACAAGATATTTGACAGATGCCTGAATCTCGCTTACGACATTATCAAGATAAGTTTGTATATTTTTTATTTATTTATTTATTTATGTACACACAGAAAACAAGACACAGTACAGAGTAATAGGAAAATTATGTACAAAGGCACTGCTTATTTCTTTGAGAAATCTCTTCCAGCAGACCTATGTCTATCTATATGTACAAGTTCCAAACAACAACATTCGGACCGTCGATCTACCGAGCGGGTGCTCCGTGGAAGATCTTCCCTCCGTCGTTAAGTATCCCACACTACAGTACCCGGCAATAAATATTACACATCGACCGTGGAAAATAGGCACGTTAATTTTTGCTTCATGTCACACATTACCTAATTGACATTTAGTCTCCATAACAACCGGATTGTTAGTATTTCATCGCACACAGGTAACGCTCTACAACAAAAACAAAATTAGACGACTGTCTCTTTCTAAATATCAATGTGCAATATTCATTGCCTGGTACTGTATAAGTATACTAGCTGTTACTGGTGACTTTGCCCGCGTGGTCAAGGGAAATTTCAGCTTAATCACCAGTGCCAATAAAATGTTTTGTCGAGATTAAGGGGTTACCTGTACATACACTCCTTACTTAAAACTATTGTAATCATCTCAATCCGTTGCTTCGTTTCAATATGAAAGAAGCACAAACAAACCAACAAATTTTCCCATTTACAATATTATAAATTTTATATGATTATGTGTAATAAGTTTGGATTGTCAATAAATAAATAAGGGAAAAAGAAAATCAATTTCACTGTTAACTCGAAAGTTGTCTTCAATCTCAACTTTCAATGTAATCGGTAAATAAAGACTAATTTTGCCAGGTAAAATGTAAACTTTGCTGCCAGATTCTGCTGAGATTCACTTATGTTACATTTAGATTAAATTAAAAATTCAAACTGGATCCAAACCAGACTTTAGGTTAAGGTAGTTTCGATATAAATTTTGAGTTTTTTTTGTTTTTTATTATTATTATTATTATTGCTTTTGTTTTATTCCAAGATCGTAGTTATTATTTTTATTTAATTCTGGTTGATGAAATGTTAGTGAATGTAATATGGACGCAAAATCTGACGTAAAGGAAAAAAAAAAGATCTATTGCCAACATACTTATCAGCGACCATGTACCGCACCCTCCACGAAGTATCTCCGGCACGAGCCCGCACGGTCGGCATCACATGTTGCTCCATATCCTCGGGTGCCAGCAGAGAAGCCACAACAGCACATGCCTCTGCGGCTAGCAAACGTACAGAGTCTTGGTCATCCTGAAATAAATTTAAATAATGTATGTAAATATAGTGTTGTGCCAGTAAGAGTAACGCCATCTGTTATCAAATAGCAGAAACGAATGTCAAAGGATTATAGTAGAATTATTTTGTCCGTGCAGTTTGGGTCATAAAAAATCGGAGCGGTGAAGCGAATATTTTGCTCTCTCTTCCACTCACGAGCCTTATGGACGGGCATAGTGATGCGCATTATTGTTGTCGATAGTGTATTTAGTTTTGTCATTTTGTGGATTAGTGATAAAAATGAAAGTAAAAATCACTAATCAAACACTTACACCACATATCGCCGCAGCAAGTTAACGAGAACGGCAGAAATTAACACTTTGTAACTATTCGGGATCTATTTTCATTTCAGTTAAAATATTTAACAACACGTGCAGATATTATTTTGAATAAATTCTGCCGTTTTGGTACATAACAAAGGAGTAGCCATTGTGTCACTAAAGAAATACAGAGAGCGAATGCATAAAAACACATTTATCTTCGACATATGTACTATAATTCGCAGGTAAGTACAATAAATGACTCATAAAATAACAATGTCTCACTACCCTTCGTATACCACCCCACCGCCGTGTACCTGCCCTCGATGACTTATTTATTTTTATCGATAATGGCGTTGCGCCCGCGCAACATGCTCACCGCCCTAGCCGGGCTATGTTTTATGACCCAAACTGCACGGACAAAATAATTCTACTATAGTAATATAGAGAACTAGTTGACCCGGCAGACTTGGTAGTGCCTCAATCGATAAATAAAAGACCTAAGTTTTTGTATAAAATAAACTTAAAACAAACAAAAGGAATCTGTCCGACGGGGGACACATCAAAGGAAAAACAAAATTGTTATTTTTACTTGATTCCGAGCATTTTTATATTTATCTACCTTTTAAACCTTCTCTGGACTTTCACAAATAATTCGAGACCAAAATGAGCCAAATCGGTCCAGCGGTTCTCGAGTTTTAGCGTGACTAACGAACAGCAATTCATTTTTATATATATATAGATAGATAGATGCTCGAGAAGTGTAACGCCATCTATAATCAAATAGTGAAAACACATCGCAACAACGAATGCTACCGAGAATGTTCTCGATAATTGTAGAATTGTTTTGTCGACTATAAAAGCGTTGCATAGATGACATGAAGGTAGTTAGTAATCGGTTCTACTCAAAGTGAAACAGCCAACGGATCACTTGAATCGAAGCGGGAGAAGTGAATTGGTAATCATGAAGTGTGCCTTAAATGTTCTAAGTGTTAGAGTTTAATTTATAGTTCGGTGATGTTTTATTTATCCCACGCCCCAAATGTATAACAATAGTTTTAATTTTCTTACACATCCTGACTAAGTCAAGTATCAGTGAAGTCTTGTATAAAATATGTAAATCTCTTGCTGCACTTTTTCTTTGAACATGATTTTGACCCCCTTTAAAACGTCGGATTAACTCGAAATTTGGCATACTTACTAAGGACTGATGACAATTCTATATTTAAAGAAAAAGATTAAAAAATTGAAATTCAACTAAAAATGAAAAATGAATAATAGTTTTAAAAAATTAAAAAAATACGCTTTTATAGAAAATCCAACTAAAAAATAGAAAATAAATTTTAATAAATTTGAATTAAAAATAGTGTAAGAATAAAATGATTTTATTGTTAAAAAATTGTGGGGTGCTTTTCAGGATATTTTCAAAATAACCCTTCTACTCATATCTGTTCATAAAAAATATTTAAAACTACTGATACCATGCAATTTCTATAAAACCATATTTTGTTAGTTTCTATTCTTCTATTCTAGTTTCTTTCTATAAAAGCGATTTTTTTTTAGTTTTTTTAAACTATTATTTGAGTTGACTATTATCAAAGCCGGCAATCTGACTTTTGGACAATGATTGGTAAATCAGAAAAACGAATTATTGACGTTGTATTCCATTGGCAGTCACAACACTCTTCGGAACGACATCTTAGATAAATAACAGGTTAACTATTAACCTTTATTTAATGCAGGTTTTGAACCGTATTCTTTGAAGGAGACGATTATATTCAAATCAATCTGTATTGACATATCAATAAAATTTTTTTGTCCAAATGCACAGATTGCCACCTTTGATAATAGACGACTCATTTATTAATACTATACAAACACACCTTTGCCAAAAACACAAAGATGGGAATGAGATCGCTTTTGACATATTCGATTTCTACGACTTTAGCGAACTCCCCAAGTTTGTAGGCGGCAGCGCGTCGCACCATCGGAGTGTCATCTTGGCAGAGCGAGCAAAAATGCTGACGAAGTTCCGCCTTCACTACGGCCGAAACGCGTGGGTAGCAGACACTGTTAAATGAATAAACATAAAATTTTATATTTTTATTGATTGTGGTGGGCAAGGTAGGAGGGAAAAGACCCGCCGGCCGGCCACCAAACCGTTGCTCGGATCAGATGACTGCGCTCACTGGACTCTTTGTTGCGAACGCCCTGAGAGAAGCCGAAAACCGAAGCAAATGGAAGCTGATGGTACAAAGAGCCACGAAGGGCTTTCAGGGACACGACCTTCAGCAATGAAGTATTCGACTAAGAAGAAGAAGAAGAAGAATTATAAAATTATTAACTTTGCATAGATGGGTGGACGAGCTCACTGGCCACCTTATGTTAATTGGTTACCAGAGCCCATAGACATCTACAACGTAAATGTCACCACCCACCTTGAGATATGAGTTCTAAGGTCCCAGTTATTACAGTACGACGGCTTCCACCCTTCAACACGAAACGCATTACTGCTTCACGGCAGACAGGCAGGGTGACGGACTCCCAAGAGGTGCTACCACCAGTACGCAAGTTACGTAAATTATAATTTTGCAGGTTTGATTTCATTGTAAAAATTTGTTAGGTACGTACTTCATTAGAAAAATTGGTACCCACTAGCGGGATTCCAACACCATTGCATCGTTCTAAACGAATGCACCGGACGTCTTATCCTTTAGGCCACGACGACGACACGAAAACTTAACTAAAATTAAGTATATCAGTGAGATTACACTCTCTTTTAATTATTATAATACCTAAAGAGTCCACAGGCAGATGTTCTAGAAGTGAACCAGTCTCCTCCGGCAAGACGCTGTACTAATGGCACAAAGTGTTCCTCGAGTGCCTGGGGGCTATGGTGCTCGGCAACAGCACGGAGCGAGGCCACTGCCTTGTCTCTGACTACTGTTTCTTCCACTGCTGCTAATGTCTCTAGTGGAGGAAGGAGACAGTGTGCAAATTCTCCCCCCCCAACCAAGTTTATGAAGTTACCTGGAATGATTCGAAATACATAGATCAATTGATGACATGGGTGGATGAAGGGGTTAAGTACCATTTTTAAGGTTTTTGAGTTTTTACATTGAATAAAGGTGTTATGTGCCTATAAACTATATTAAACCTTAAAACTTTGGATTTTAAGGCTATTTTTTAGAAATTGCATGGGATGAAGGAGTTCTGTATGAAAAAAAAACAAGTAACCAGAGATTGTTGCCCATTTTCTCAAAATTAACAAATTGTATCATATCCCCTTCATCCACTCATGTCTTCAATTATGTCATTATAATTTTCCCTGTCTTTCTTGTTATTAGCTGAAATGGACTAAAATGCTCATGATGTAGCTTAAATTAATATAACCAAAGATTTTGGAACACAATTAAAATGGCGACTTCCACCTTGGAATATAAAATACTCAAAACGCTTCAAAATGTTTAAATACTAATATGTTGTATTAATATGAAATTATATTAATACTGTGCACAATGTTTGTTTCAAACAAATTTATAACACAGTGTTATCTCGACATACGTTCCGTAGCCTATGTCAAATTGCTCATATCTCAAAGATATTTTCCCCATTGAAATTAATTGAAATGCCAATCATACGTTCCAAAGCTCCCAAAAAAAACCACCTCAGTCGTTTTTGATAAGTGTTTTTAAATAAGAAAAATGAATTTACAAGAAGAAAAAAATATTTATAAATAACAAATATTTATTCTATAAAAACATAAAAGAAAAAGTGAAGTGAAGACATCAACTTCTTCTTCTGACCCTTGGTTATAAAAATAAATCTGATGTTTTGTAACTGTATAAAAAGCAAAAAATGCGAAAACCAACTTTGGAAAAATGATGGAAACAAGTACACTGACTGAGGTCTAGTCTGAAGTGGGAGAAACTATTAGACCTGAACACAACCTCAACATGCGACCTGCAGGTCATGTTTGATTCCTCATATCACAAATTTTGCTCTCATCTCAAAGTAAAATATCGCTCTTTTGACAGCTAGTATTTTAAGCCATATATGAGTCGACTATTATCAAAGGCGGCAATCTGACTTTTGGACAATGATTGGTAAATCAGAAAAACGAATTATTGACTTTGTATTCCATCGGCAGTCACAAAACTCTTCGGAACGACATCTTAGATAAATAACAGGTTAACTATTAACCTTTATTTAATGCAGGTTTTGAACCGTATTCTTTGAAGGAGACGATTATATTCAAATAAATCTGTATTGACATATCAATAAAATTTTGTTGTCCAAATGCACAGATTGCCGCCTTTGATAATAGACGACTCATATATCATATATTAGGGTACTCATATATCGAGGTACCACTGTAATCCAAATCTATTAGTTTGTTAAATATTGTTTTACCATTTTGAAATAAATTTCTTATTAGTTCATAAATAATATAATAATTTAAAAATGATAATACTGACGACAAATAATAACATTGATAAACATATTAAAGCTCCCTAAGATGGGCTATAGCGGAGTCTTGCGAAACGGTCGACTCAATTGTTAATGCCGCGCTGATCTTCCATCAGACCATTATATTCTGTAGTGGATCTTGCTATAACTTTGAACTTACCAAGTTGTTCAGCGAGTGCTAAGAGAACCTCGTCTTCATCATAGATTGTCTCAGTGAGGAACGGGATCAACTCCGATTTAGTCCTCTCCACGCCCAGAGCCAACGCGATCGTCGACAATTTCTTTATAGAGTTCAAACGAAGCTGTACATCCTCATTCTTTAGCTCATCTATCAGAACAGCAATCGGATACAATGATTCATCCGTCCCGGAGTCACTCGCTGCCATTCTTACGTATTTAACTCTCTTTAATTTCAATTCGAACTAAACGGACACTAAATTGTCACACTAAAAGTTGAGTACTATCAATAACAGATTTTTATCAAAACAAATAAACCTAGCTCAGACGGAGCAAAATGGCAGATTTTTTAAATGTCTAATAGTGTTGTACTGCTCAAAATGTGGTCACTGGTGGGTGTATTAGTGTGATACAACCATGGAGTTAATAAGTTAGAATAGTAACTCTATGGATACAACTAACTGGTTTTTTTCTCCTTCAAAAAATCGATTTACATTGGTTTTCAACGATTGCCAAAATTGTCCGTTTTTTTTTTTTATTGCCCTTGTAGGCAGACGAATATGGCAACCTGATGGTGAGTAGTTACCGTCTCCCATGGACTTCAGTAATGCCAGGGGCAGAGCCAAGTCGCTGCCCACCGCTTAATACTTTCCACAAGCCTCGTTTGAAGAAGGACATGTCATATCGCTCGGGAAACACCGTAACCGTAAAATTGCCTATTGTAATAGGTTCTAAGAATCAACCTTCAAAAGTTGGCTCACATTGGCAAATTTCTTGCTCAACCCACACCTACCGTAAAAACAAGTCATCTTTTTCCAGTCACGTCCAGTCCGTCTCAATTTGAAATATCGGCTACCGGTGGCAGCTGACTAGATTGAAAAACGGCCGTTGATGCTGCACGTCGTGATGAGGCACGTCCAAATCACGTCAATTTCACCAATAGTCGTTTTTCGGTTTTCGCAACTCATACATTTATAAGTCAAAATCAAAATGTTTGCAACAGAAAAAAGTTAATTCCATGAATGGCGTACAAGGCCACTGAAATAATAAAAATACCCACATTTGAAATCGATAAGATAGATGAGCGTTTATCTAAGACCTAAGACCCTCTTTTAAAGTAAAAAAGGAAATAAACAGTCATACTTCAAGATACTGTTGATTCTTTCTGTGTGAATTGGAATGTAAATGTAAATATTATTTAAAGAAAATAAGAGGGTAGTTAGTACAAAATAAAAATGTCGATGAATAATACGTTGGCCGTCTATGGCCACGAAAACTGTAGTTTCCGGAAATAATTAATGCCAGATTAAATAGTAAAAGTAGTTTTGTTAATGTCACCAATATCCAGTTAATTAAAAGTAGATTGGTACATGTCTCTCAAATAAACAATCTAGGATTTCTGTATTCGGCAGTTATTATTATTTGTTTAGAAGCTTAAATTTGTGATTGGAAAATGAGTAAGATTATTCAGAAATTAATGAAATTAAATTTAAAGAAATGAGATTTCATAACATTTAAATAATTACTTTATGGAGGAATTTCAGAATAGACGTCCGTCGATTTTGTAACATTTTCACATTTGTAACATTAAACGGTTAATGAGCTACTGTTATTACCTCAACAAACACTTACATAACAAAATAAAGAATATAAATAGCTTTTCTCTTAGCGATCCTGCAAATTAACAAAATCAGAAACGGTCAACACTAATAAACAATGGTCACAGAAATTTTCTAATTTTATAGCAAAAACATGTAGTTAGTGCTCCCATACTAGTCCACAGACAAGATCAAGTTGTGAACTCTAAAAGTTAAGGCATGTCGCGTCGTATTAATAGAATGGTGGATTTTCGACTTAGTAAACTCGATTGTTCAACATCAAATTAAATCGATTTTTATGTATCGATGTGTTTGAAGCATCAAACTTCATCTATGCCGAGCAACACCGTTGTCTAAATTGTCTTTCATTAAAATTTTACAAAGAACTCGTTTTGATAAATTTTACACAAAAAAGTTATCGTTAAAATTTGAGTGCGTATACTTTGAATTGAAATCAAGACAAAGCTCAATAGATAAAAATGGCAGCGAGCGACTCCGGGACGGATGAATCATTGTATCCGATTGCCGTTCTCATAGATGAGCTGAAGAATGAGGATGTACAGCTTCGTTTGAACTCTATAAAGAAGTTGTCGACGATCGCGTTGGCTCTGGGCGTGGAGAGGACTAAATCGGAGTTGATCCCGTTCCTCACTGAGACAATCTATGATGAAGACGAGGTTCTCTTAGCACTAGCTGAACAACTTGGTTAGTTGAACTATACATTTACTACCGGAAGTTCAATTTATTAATGTTAGTAAAAACATAGTATCAAGTCAGCAAATACACCTATTACAATCAATATAATGTTAAACATTTACGAATGTAGTAAAACATAACATAAAAAAGAAATTGCATAGAAAATTTATCACCTAGACAACTTTTAGTGCTAATAAATTCTACACTAACTTATCTGAAGGATTAAGTTGTGTTCCTTTAAATGTGTTAATTTTTCATTTAAATCAATTCTATTTGTTTTATTTTCCCTTTATTCTATTCCTATATACTATAAACTATTCAAATACTGCATGAGTCACTCAAAGATTAATAATGGTTTCAAACCAAACATGAAATTTCTCAACCTTTTCAGGCTGCCTACTAATTTTATTAAAATAAAGCTACATTTTTAATTTTATCATGTATGATGGAATTCATTGGCCTTTTCAAATCAAACACTTTCAAGATATAATTGAAATATATATTTCATAAAGCAAGTGTTCTTGCTGTGTTCTTGTGTGTGAATTTTTATGCTATACCAGTTGTCTTCACAGTTCAACTAGTGCTCATTGGTTACTGAAGGTCATATACAAAAAATGTGAATGCGGCCATCCCAATTCATTTCAGCTTGAGCAAACAATTCTATAGGTTTGTCTGATACTAGGTAGTTTCATCAACTTGGTCGGCGGAGGAGAGTTCGCACATTGTCTTCTTCCACCCCTGGAGACATTAGCAGCAGTTGAAGAGACAGTAGTCCGAGATAAGGCAGTGGCTTCACTCCGTGCCGTTGCCGAGCATCACAGCCCGCAAGCACTCGAGGAACACTTTGTGCCACTAGTACAGCGCCTTGCTGGAGGAGACTGGTTCACTTCAAGAACATCCGCTTGTGGACTATTTAGGTAAATTTAAAAAGCTGTAAAGTTACATAGTTGAATATCGTAAGTTTTTTTTTTCTTGCTTAGATGGGTGGACGAGCTCACAGCCCACCGGGTGTTAAGTGGTAACTGGAGCCCATAGACATCTACAACGTAAAGGCGCCACCCACCTTGAGATATAAGTTCTAAGGGCTCGAGTACAGTTACAACGGCTGCCTTACCCTTCAAACTGAAACGCATTACTGCTTCACGGCAGAAATAGGCAGGGTGGTACCTGCCCGTGCGGTCTCACAAGAGGTCCTACCACCAGTAAGTCATTTATTTTAAATGTCTTGGACCATTAATATATTATATTTTACCTGTGAACTACATTTGCAGTGTATGCTACCCACGTGTCTCGGCACCTGTGAAGGCAGAACTTCGTCAGCATTTCCGCTCCCTCTGTCAAGATGATACTCCGATGGTACGCCGCGCTGCTGCCTACAAACTTGGAGAGTTTGCGAAAGTTGTGGAGATTGAATATGTTAAGAGCGATCTTATTCCCATATTTGTGATTTTGGCAGAGGTTTGTAAATTGATGGTTGAAATATTTGTTGATTTTCTTTTTTTTTAAACCATAATACATTGTAAATGATGAAGTAGATTGTTTGAGAATATTACTAATCATAACAGTATAATCTACCCATAATATAATTGAATAATTTACAATATAATATATTTATCACAGCCTTTTTATAAGAAATGTAAGTCTTAAATAGAATTGAAACTTATGAGTTAAGAGTTACGATTCTGTCCATTAACCTTGCTTGAACACTGAACAGACTACACTGAATTTAGTTCTAGAAAAAAAAATGTCTCACGGTATATAGATTCATTTTAAAGGACATGCCTTCAACGCTAATGCTACATACTCAGAACTGCAGAGATCTGAATCTGCAGATGGTATTGACTAAATTAAAAAGATATTTTTATTGCTGTTTATCAACAAACAGAATATAATAACTACCCACCTAGCTTTATAAGACAAAAGCTAACATAATTAACAATGATCCAATTAACGATGATGTCTCCGAGTCAATAGAAATTGTAATATTTTTGTTCCTAATTTCAGGATGATCAAGATTCCGTTCGTCTGTTGGCTGCCGAGGCCTGCGCGGCGGTTGCAGCTCTATTGACTCCTGAGGATATGGAGCAGCATGTGATGCCAACTGTACGCGCACTGTCCGGAGACGCTTCTTGGAGAGTCCGATATATGGTTGCTGATAAGTATGTGATAAAAATTGTAAGAATTATGTCCCTGAAATCTTAAAATTTAACTAAATAAATAACAGTTTAAAAAAAAACAATAAAATACGTTTTTTTAGGATATCCAACAAAAAAAATTGAAAATAAATTTTAATTTAATTAAAAATAGCATAAGAAAAAACGATTTTATTGTAAAATAAGCGTGGGGTGCTTTTCAGGATATTATCAAAATTACCCTTCTACTCATATCTATTCATAAAATATTTATAACTACTGATACCACGCACTATTTTTAATTTAATTTATTAAAATTTATTTTCTATTTTTTAGTTGGATTTTCTATAAAAGCGTATTTTGTTAGTTTTTTAAGCTACTATTTATTTTTAATTTTTTAGTTGAATTTAAATTTTCTCAATTTTTTTTTAAAATGTTGAGTTGTCTTTTTTTTCCTACCTAAGCTGATAACCTTGAGAGGCTATATCAGCGTCGCCTTAACTAGTAGGTGAGCTCACGGGGCTCAAACCTGATGACTGAATTGTCATCGGTCCTTATAAGCATGCCAAATTTCGAGTTAATCCGACGTTTTCTTTCTGGTTGTTCCCTCAATGCTGAGGATCGTGACTGTATGTCAATCTTCTCCACCCGGTCCGGTTCTGAGCTATATGTACCGCTCCCTGTATCTGTCAAAATCATGTTCAAAGATTCCGTTAAATACTAACGTCTGAAGCTAATAAAAGCGTATTAAAAATGAATTTTTATATACATATTTAGTATATTAGTGAGCATATTTATTCTCCTGTCCCAAAAAGATTACTAGGCGTGGGTGGTATAAAATGGTGAACTTACACATGCTTAACACGTTGTACGCCATGCGATCCACTGTTGGACCTAAAAGGGTACTACTATACTGAGCCATCGAGCCAAGCCAAAATTAGGGAATCAGCAATTTTTATCAACTTGAGATTTTCATTCTAAAATATGATAGTTTACACGGAAAATATAAATTAGCGACTTTTACTGTCTAGTTTTTAAGATATTTTAATTTATTGTGGAGATTGTTGTATCTTGATAAAAACTATGACTTTCTATTGGAAGAGTATATCGATAAGAACATTGAATGAAAAACAATACCAACATGATCAGCTATGTAGATATGAAAGCAATCTTACAATGAAAAATTGAAGAAATTTGCACATTTCTGATTGTTCTTGTTCATCACATTATTGAATTCCGGGCCGGTCATAATCTACTGCAAAATTAGGTATAAGCTCCCATTTCTTTCCGTTTCAACTCTTGCATAAGCTGAATACCCTCAGGGCTTTGTTCGAGATATGATTCTCATGTCATGTCAGGGTCCTGACCATCACAGGTCCATCAATTACATTTGCAGAGTGTTCATGCTATTTACTATTTTCGCTTGTTTTGTATCATGTCATAGTACTGTTACAGCCCACTGAGTTTCTCACCGGATCTTCTCAGTGGGTGGGTCGCGTTTCCGATCCGGTGGTAGTTTCTGCGAAGCACTGTCCTTACTAGAGCCAGTGTTAGCAACGCCTCCTGGTTTGAGCTCCGAGAGCTCACCTACACGTTAAGCTGCTTTCAGACTACGCTATACTATAGTGCCATGTAGTATAGCAGCATATACTTAACCAATAATATATAGTACAGTACAGTGTGAACGTGTCTTTACAATGTATGGTGCGCGATATTGTTGTGCTATGAGCTATATACTATATGCTATTATAGCTTAGTCTGAAAGCAGCTTTAGGGTTACGTTGACATAGCCTTTCAAGCTTTAGCAGGAAAAAAAGAAAATAGGAGTGCTGTTATTTGAATTAAGATATTTTTTTTTTTTTTTTTTTTTTTTTTTGTTTCATNTGAGGTATCATCCGGAGCAGATATCTGCGTCTCCGTTAAAAAAAGCAGGGCAGGCTGCGCCGTCTCAAGGTGGTGGTGTACGGCGTCAAGGTTGCTATGTAGGCCCCTGACATTGCTGAAATCCACATTAAATGTGGAATGGGGGACCGCCTGTGAAACCCTTTTCTTTTTTTTTGTCGTCTTCATGATGTTTATGTTTTCGTTAAGAGGCTTACTTTAAGCAGACTGGAATGCAAGATTGGTTTATGTTAAAAATCAAATTTGACTTCACTGATAGATTCAGTTATATTTTTGTAAGATTATAATCAGTTAAATTTGCAGGTTCGTAGAGCTGCAACAAGCTGTAGGCCAGGAGCTAGCTCGTACAGATCTAGCACAGATCTTCCAGGCACTGCTCAAGGACTCGGAGGCTGAGGTTAGAGCCGCAGCTGCTGGGAAGGTATGTACAAATAGTATGCAGTGTGGGTAGTCGACAGTTTTATAAAATTGAAACGATATCAGTATCAAAATACTCTTGCATTGCAGGTCAAGGACTTCTGTATGAACTTGGATAAAGCTCACCAAGAACACATCATCATGACCATGATCTTGCCACAGATCAAGGACTTGGTGTGTGATGCCAACCAACACGTCAAGTCTGCACTAGCCTCCGTCATCATGGGCCTGAGCCCCATAGTGGGCAGACAGAACACTATTGAACATCTCCTGCCGCTGTTCCTCACACAACTGAAGGATGAATGTCCCGAAGTCCGACTCAACATAATCTCCAACCTCGAGTGTGTGAATGAAGTGATCGGCATCCAGCAGCTTGTGCAGTCTCTCCTCCCCGCCATCGTGGAGCTGGCAGAGGACACCAAGTGGAGGGTCCGTCTGGCCATCATCGAGCACATGCCTCTACTGGCGGGACAGCTGGGCCAGGAGTTCTTCGACGAGAAGCTGACCAGCTTGTGCATGTCGTGGCTGGTGGACCACGTGTACGCCATCCGCGAGGCTGCGACCCTCAACCTGAAGAAGCTGGTGGAGCAGTACGGGCCGCAGTGGGCAGAGAACAACGTCATACCCAAAGTACTGAACATGTCGCACGAGCAGAACTACTTGCACAGGATGACGTACTTGTTCTGCATTAACGTGCTGTCCGAAGTGTGCGGCAAGGACATCACGACCAGGGTGCTGCTGCCGACCGTGTTGTCTATGGCCGACGACAATGTTGCCAACGTGCGGTTCAATGTTGCCAAGACGCTGCAGATAATGGCCAAGTACTTGGACCCGGCCGTCATCCAGCCCCAAGTCAAGCCGGTCCTGGAGAAGCTCAACGTGGACCCCGACGTCGACGTCAAGTACTTCGCATCGGAGGCGATCGCCGGAATAGCTGGATAACTAATACTTAATAATATAGGAAATTATACATAAGGGCCCGAACATCAGAACTGTATTATGGAGTATTATTGACTCTTTGTTTTTTTTAATGACGATAAAATTTGAACGTATAAAACAAAACGCATAATTATTCTAAACGTTCATCATGTAGCTAGTTAAATAAAGTTTGCAATAATTGAAAAGCCCTAGTTCATTCCCCACTATGTTTATAGATAAAATGAAAAAAAAAACTTTTTATACTTAAGGACTGGTTTAGTCGTCCAATATTAACGTACAAAATTTCACCATCGGTGGAAAAGCGAGGTTTATCTATATATATAATTGTTAGGTGTTAGGAGACCGCTTCCGAAGTCGAAGACAGACTATAGTACTAATGACACTTTTGATGATAGGATGGAAAAAAATCCTGATTTAAAAAAAAACATGCTTTAAAATGTTTTATTAACATTATTTACTCTTCATCATGTTAGTATAGGTAAATGAAACGGTCGTTCCATAAAAAATACATTACTTTACTAAAAAAAAGAACCAGCAATGAAGCACAAAATCAAAAACAGCTGATGTCCAGGTTAACGACCGCCCGGGCGCGGCGTTTCTTTTACACGCACACCGGCGAGGCGCCGATATCGCGGTCCGCAAAACTTACAACTTTCTAGGTACAACATTTTCGTTTTCGGAAGCTGTCTCCCCAACACCCAGTATATAACCCAAGCACATTTACATTGTGTCTTAAATATAATAAGAAAATGAATGTTTTTTTTTCTTGAGAGTTATTTGTGAAAATATCCCGAATAGCAACCACATCTACATGTCGATTTTAAACCGACAAACGATAAATTTGTTTGGCTGGTTGTCTTCTAGTGTGGATGACATGTTTTGTTTGCGGGTGAATCAGATGTATCGCTAGATACGTGTTCGCGTACGCTAAATGTTGCCAGCTTTAATGACACGGATAAGTTTATGTTGACTTCCGGCGAACAAACTAGAAGTTGTACGGGTGCGTTAGTGCATTTTATAATGTAAATACGATTTCTGAGCGATTTGATAACTACGAAATAAAATAAGAAAAGTAATGCTGTCGTTTTTATTCATTTTTTAATGGGACTTTATGACGTGGTATCTAAGACCTTTAGGTCATGTCTTATTTTAATTTAACATATTCTTATTTTTATGAAAAATGACAATATAGAGTGAAATGAAATGAAAATGATTAATTTGAGACATTAATCAACTGGGATGAAATTAAATGAAATGAGATGAGAATGATTTGGGATGAAATATAATCTCAGTAAAATGGTGGTCATTTACTGAGATTTTTTCTGTGGACTTTTTGGAGGAACCCTAGAAGTTACGTCCAGCGGCTTCGTTTCATTTTCCGGCTTTTGTGCACTTTCACAGATATTAAACAGTTTAATAAACCACCGTTATTACACATTTAAACCTGAAGAAACACTAAATAGACAAAATAAAACAAATCATGCAACTTCACTTATCGCGTTTCCGCCAAAAAGTCCCCTTCTTTTTTACTTTGTCAGAGTGATCCAGGCTAAATGCGCTTTTATTATAGATTGTTTTGTGGTATTTTCCCCCTGCGGTAGCTAGTTTCGCGGCTTAGCAACTGATCGAAAATTGAGGGCTACTCTCCCGTGCTGTTTCCCGAACACTATGACATGTCCTTCTTCAAACGAAGCTTGTGTGACAGTACATAACGGTAGGCAGCTGATTGTCTCCGCTCTTGGCATTGCTAACATCCATGGGCCACGATAACCACTCAACATCAAGTGGGCCGTATGCTCGTCTGCCTACAAGGGCAATAAAAAAAACTAGGGAAAGCTAATGTTGGGCTAAGAACCAGAAAAACTCAGGAATCTAGATTCTAATTTATTATTGATATCCAGTATACGCTTAGACATTTTAAGATCAAAAAAGACGAAAAAGCAGAAAAAAAACAAGAAAATTGAACACTTACAGAGAAAACGACGCACTGGCCTTTTAAAAAAATATTTTTTGGTAACTTGATAAAATTATGTTCTTAAACAGGGAATGAAATCAATTTAAAACGCCATCACATTTAAAACAGTTTTTATTAAATTCTTTACATAACTACTTAGAGGCACTTTAAGCTATAATTTTACATATAAATCTAAATAAAAAGAAACGAATCTTACATACAAACAACAAACATAATTCACATTATTTTTAAACGAAACTCATATTAGGACTTCATACGAACTCCAAACTAAAATAGAAAAAGTAATTAAAAAAGGTTGGAAGTATACAACATTGACTTTTATTGCAATGTTATGTAAAGTCGAAAATTGCAGTCTTCGCATCGAATACGTGTAATGGCCATGATAATACAACTAACATTGTAATAACTCAAAATTTACATTATCCACTTAGAGATACGGATTCGTAAAACATTTTGGTATCAACTATTTATTTACTTGGAGACATCCAAACATGAAATTAAAAATGAGGGCGCAATCAAGATTTTCTTTTAGACGAGTCAGTGTGTAGTCGAGTATAAATAAATTTGCTAAAAAATACTTATCTCATTTATGTACAATGAAGTTCTCATAAAACTGTTTTACGTTTACCCTCATTTTCTTTAATTAATGCGTAATCAAATAAAATGATAATAAATGCGCATTTCTCTGCCGACTGTACAGAAATCGTGTAAGTTCAACGACCCGCTCGGGGAGGCAATGACCCCCCACCCGGCTACACCCACAGTGGCCACGTGTGGGGTGTGTGATGCTTCTTGAGTTAATACAGTATTGGATATAATGAGAAACATCTTCATACGGTAGAAATGTCTATCTATATATCAGCCCACAGACACCCACTGCTGGACATAAAACTCCCCAAAGTCTCGCCACAGTGACCGGTATGGCGTTGCCTGCGGATCCCCGCGGACCTTAATCTTGCGGGAGCCCTACCCACGCTACGCCTTCTAGTAGAAAATTAATACTGTGTTGCAGACAAAACGGTCAAAAAGTATTATTAATTGTAGTATACTGTAGAGAATTGATCAAATACCACTTTTTATTGTTTACGTTACCTTAAAGCAGTCTGGTCGTATTAACTTTTTGTAGACAGAGTGGTTACAATTTCATGTTGCAGACGGGATGGTCACATCACTAGTGACCACATTGTAGACGAGATATCCAAATGATTACAATGTATATGATAGGTTACTATACAAGTATTATATCAGTTTCAAGGGTGGGTAAATATTTTCGAGGTTACAAACATATCGATAATATCATATGTTTTAACAATGCTTGCAACAATCACATCAAGTTCAAACGAACTACCCGTTTAGGTAATACATACTATACGAGAAACGATTTACTGATCAACAACGTAGAAAGAACATTAAATTCATTTAGCATCATTTATACGGTACTTTGAATTTATAACGATTTCTCTATATATGTAATAAATTTTTCATTTTCAAAGATTCCATGTCACTCAACAAAACGTTATGAAAATCTGGTGAGGGACACGTGACAAGAAAGTCAGTCTGGTATCACGCATCGCGACTAGGCCATAAAAGATAATTAGTTTGTCTGTAAAATCGGTTTACGGACGATAGGTTTACGTGATAACGTCAGTAGCAGAACCATTCGAACTGTCAGCTCTGACGTCACGCGAGAAGAGATAAATGTGTCTCGAGCCAACGCTTGGGCCGATCGTGCCTCTCTATCGCTTCTTTCGCGCTCTCGCTTGCACGCTCACGCTCAGGCGGAACGTGACACTTTTTCGTGCGTGCAGCCGATGTTCAACGATTTACAAGACGTTATAACGTCAAAAATTTGCAAATCAAAGGCGAATAAGATTATAAAAATCCGCAGTGAACTAAAGCATAAGATATATCATCGACTGGATACAACTTTAATCACAAAGTCAGAATTTAAAAAAATCTACATATTGGCTAACTCTTTGCTTTGTAACCGCTTTGTAACTATATACAAATTCACACTATACTATAGAGATGTAAATGCTGTGAAAACACAACGAAACTTTTTTAAATTATTTTAAATACGATGTGATTATCGAAATTCGCCCTTATTCCAGTTACATACAGCAGTCATACATGTGACATATATAATTTTTAATATTTAGGTACTGGTATAATACTTGACTTATTTATGGGCGTAAGAAGTTTGACTTCTATAGTGATAAAATCTAGATATATGTATATATATAGATGCAAACAACGAGTGTTTATGTTAGGAAAATATTAATGAACATAGTCATTTTAAAACGATAATAACGCCACCTACTTTATGTTTCAATGTATCTATGACTTTTATGTCCCCAAATCATGTCATAATTTATTGCATGAATTCAGAATATTATTATATTTATGAATCATCTAGGAAGCCTGACTTCACCTGACCCGAGGTACACTTGGCTTGATGGAAATGTCTCGAAAACAAATAGTAAATATTTCCAATACGGCCCAAAAATTGTCCAAGTAGTTACGAACAATGTAATCAATTTGGTATATATTTATGATGCAAAATGACAATACTAGATCAAGTCGAACAAAACATTAACTATTACTATTAATGGATATATGAATATTTATTTGTCACAGTCTGCATTTTTAAATTAATTTGGTTCAATTTAAGCCGCACATATAATTCATTTTTTTTTGTTTTGCACTGATCCCACAGTTTTCTACTTTTTTAATTATATATAGCATTTAGATAGACTAAAGAATAGATATGTACTGGTCGATAAGAAACAGAGTGAATTAAAATAAGAATTAATACCATTCGTCACAGTTATTGAAAAAAAAAACATCTATAGTATTTCAAGATACAGAAGAACAAAAGAATGGATAAGTATGTGGCAATGATAGATGAAAAAAAAGTTTAAAATATAGAACAGAATAAGATGAATACAATCATGTTCAAGGAGATTGTACCTGAGATTACATATAAGCAAATAAAGCTCTCCGATTTCAATTTGACTTGGCTTTAAATATTCAAATGGACATAATTAAGCTTACTTTTACAGTTTAGTCTCGGGTTTATTTGTTTCATTTTATTATATCTGACTTTTATAATGCTTCAGATTTTGTGTTTACGGTTGACTATATATATCATTATGCTTACTACCTTGATCATTGATATCTCTATTGAAAATGAGAAACCTGAGATTAAAACATAAAAGGAGGTTTAATTATGTGAATTTGAAGATTTTTTTTTCTTATCAATTTCTTTATAGGAAGACAAGCGGGCCGCTGCAGCTCCGCTCGGGTCTTTAACAAAAATTTCAACGATATTTGACGTTGTTTTATTTTTTTAAATAAAAGAACACTTATTGCGACATAATTACAATAGTTAGACATATGCTGTCGCGACACTTTTTGTAATCAATAATGTGTTCTACAAAGTCGTAGTACATTATTGTATTCTATCATCAATAATTTTTGCAGGGCACGCGATGTAAAGAATATTGTAGGTAATTTTTTTTAAATCTTGGGTTACATTATTGGAGTTTAGTAAAGATCCCTAATTTTTTTCAAAAATGATTATAGCCTATGTCACTCGGGAATAGTGTAGCTTCCAAAGAGTGAAAGAATTTTTTAAATCGGTTCAGTAGTTTCGGAGCCTATTCAATACAAACAAACAAACAAATCTTTCCTCTTTATAATATTAGTATAGATAAAAAGTATAATATACATTACACACATTTTAATAGATCATTTTGGGGGTTGTATATAGAACAGTTAAAAAACTCTTTATATTCTGTACTTACATTTGCTACTTTTGATACTGCACAGTGTAATAATTTTCATAAATTACTTTAGAATTTGTATCATTTCTGAATGTATTGTCTCACATCAATAATATTATGCATACCGATATAATTTCACGTCACATTCAGTAAAACTGAAATAGCACAGTAAGTGGCCAGTCTCGAACCTGTCACGCATGATACCGGGGCCACAAGCACATTTAACACATTTCAACACTTAAGTTGAGAACACTTAATAATGTCAAAGTCATTTATCACTGAAGCACATTAGCTAATCGTTTGGTTGGCTATTGAAACTACAGGCTGCTGATTCCCGGCTGATATCACAGTGGATCCTGGAGGTATCTTCTGCGGCACCATGCCGTCTATAGGTCGGTACTTCTTGAGTCTAGTCCACTGTCCATTGTTGTAGTTCATTTGGAAATGCATCTCTGAGAGCATAGTGAGATACGTGTCGTCCGACTGTAGAACATTCTCAATGTTTTCAGAGAGTTTTATCGTAACAATATTGCCGAGGTTCGGACACGGATTATCTGAAATTAAAATTTAACTGGTTAATGTCTTCAAATTATAAGATATTGATGATTTTTTTAAAGTTGTCGTGGCCTAAAGGATAAGACGTCCGGTGCATACGTGTCGAGCGATGCACCGGTGATCGAATCCCGCAGGCGGGTACCAATTTTTCTAATGAAATATGTACTTAACAAACGTTCACGATTGACTTCCACGGTAAAGGAACATCGAGTAATAAAAATCAAACCCGCAAAATTATAATTTGCGTAATTAGTGGTGACAGGACCTCTTATGAGTTCGCGCGGGTAGGTACCACCACCCTGTCTGTTTTTGTCGTTTCTGGATTTTGTTACTTAGATTTAAGTACATTTTTTCCAACTTGAGTGGAGGTATCAACATGATTATGCTAAGACATTAACATTACATTTACACACATGAACTGAAAGTAAAGTTACTTATTTAGTTTTACAATTTTTGCATTGAACAATTAGTAGGAACTACAATTTTATATTATTAGCGTCTATGAAAGAAAGATTCAAGCGAGTAAACTAATTTATATGATTTGTTTATAGGTGCTTTTTTATTTTTATTGCTGAGATGGGTGGACGAGCTCACAGCCCACCTGGTGTTAAGTTGTTTCTGGAGCCCATAGACATCTATACCGTAAATGCCGCCACCCACCTTGAGATATAAGTTCTAAGGTCTCAGTATAGTTACAACGGCTGCCCCGCCCTTCAAACCGAAAAGCATTTCTGCTCCACAGCAGAAATAGGCAGGGTGGTGGTACCTACCCGTGCGGACTCACAAGAGGTCCTACCACCAGTAAAAATGCTCTCAGTTTGTATGTACATTATTAATGTCATAGGTAACAGTAATCTTATCATTTGTCTAGGAATAGCCGTGATTAAAATATGTTTGACTATCAGCTAGCATGAGAAATAAGCTGCTCATTTGATCTAAACAAAACATCTCATTTTTCCAGATAATATTTACCTCTAGATCCAGCCATAAAACCAAGTATAAGAGCTTTTTCCGGTCTCGTAACACGATTTGCATTTCTGAACATATCCTGGGCTTCCAGCATCTGTTCTCGCTGTAATAACAAACAACCATAAAATCAGCTTCCACATAACGAATATATTCAAAAACGTGTAAGAAATGTATCGTATTTTTCTTTAAATTGAAATATGATTCCTTAGTGTTTATCTATACTAATATTATAAAACTGAAGAGTTTGTTTGTTTGAACGCGCTAATCTCAGGAATTACTGGTTCGATTTGAAAAATTAATTCAGTGTTAGATAACCCATTTATCGAGGAAGGCTATAGGCTATATAACATCACGGTAAGACCAATGCCAATATCCAAATCACTTCAAGATAGGCTTTGACAAGGTCCCATTATCAGATCTTGATGTAAACAGGACCATTCGAGAAATCTACCCTTTCGAACAAAAAAAAAAAAGAATTATCAAAATCAGTTCAGGCATTTTCGAGAAATCGGTGAACATACATAGATAAAAAATTATGGTCGAATTGATAACTTTCTCTTTTAAAGTCGGTTAAAAAACGTGATTTTAGTACCTTAAATAGCTCCTTAACATTCTATTATTCAAAAATATTTTCTCTCTCAGCGTAAATGAAGAGGCAGGTAAAATTTAGCGTTATGCCAAAGTAACTATTCCACGCGGACGAAGTCGCGGGCAAAAGCTTATTTAAATATTTTTACTAGATTATGACCGAGCTTTACTCGGTTTTTTTTTTATAACGCCTTCTTGTTGTGTCTTTGAAGCTAGTTATATTATTCGCCAAAAGATGTCGGGAATAAAGTTGATTATTGAAAACAACATTTTCTGAAAATAAATCGTAGCTAGATGGATTTATCGCCCCCGAAATCCCCTGTATACTAAATTTTATGAAAATCTTTGGAGCCGTTTCCGAGATTCATATTATATACATATGTATATATTAATATACAAGAATTGCTCATTTAAAGGCATAAGATATAAGGGGCGTTTAATAGTTTACCGTAAGGGAGAGTCCTCTTCTGGGCAGTAGAGGCGTGGCAGCTGGTTGGGGCGCCGGCTGCACGGGGGCGGGCTGCTGTACTTGCTGTTGAATCTGCACCTGCTAAAATTCATTATCATCATCAGGGCTTTTTGGCGGGAACGCGAGTAGTGAAGTTGTGTGATTTGTTTTATTTTGTCTATTTAGTCTTTCTTTAGGTTTAAATGTGTAATAACGGTGGCCTATTAACTGTTTAATATTTGTGAAAGTGCACAAATGTGGGAAATGAAACAAAGCCGCTCTGGACGTAACTTCCCGGGATCCTCCAAAAAGTCCACTGAAAAAATCTCAGTAAATGACCACCATTTTACTGAGATTATATTTCATCTCATATCATCTCATTTCATTTCATTTATCTCCATATTGTAATTTTTCATAAAAATATAAATATAAATTAAAATAAGACATGACTTAAAAGTCTTAGTTACCAGCTCATAAAATCGCTTAAAAAAAATTCTCATCTCAAATCATTTCATTAATGCCATCAGAGGCGGATTACGACTAACACGATAGACCATTGTCCCAACTAATCTACAGTATATCTAAGGCTCAAAACTTTGTTTCACATATCTGTATGGCTGCCACAAGATTTATTTTACTATTCATAAATTGATGTCTTTGGATAGGTGTAAATTTTCGCAACTACAAGACGGTTTTTTTTTGTATTTAGCTATAAAATGTGTTTTTTTTTATTGCTAAGATGTGTGGACGACCTCACAGCCTACCTGATATTAATTGGTTTCTGCAGCCCATAGCTGTTTTACAATGCAAATGCGCCACCCACCTTGAGATATAAAAAAAAAAAAAAATAAAAAAAAAAAAAAAAGAAAAAAAAAAAAAAAAAAAAAAAAAAAAAAAAACATGCCCGCTGAGTTTCTTGCCAATTCTTCTCAGGACGGAGGCTAATTATTGTGAATTGGCGGTAGTTCTTTTGACGTTCAACAAGTATGTACTTTCATTTATGTTGAATAAAAATTTTTTGATTTGATTTGATTTGATTTGATTTAGATATAAGTTCTAAGGTCTCATTATAGTTACAATGCATTACTGCTTCACGGCAGAAATAGGCAGGGTGGTGGTACCTACCCGTGCGGACTCACAAGAGGTCCTACCACCCGTAAACTCACAAGAGGTCCTACCACCAGTAATTACGCAAATTATAATTTTGCGGGTTAGACTTTTATTACACGATGTTATTCCTTCACCGTGGAAGTAAATCGTGAACATTTGTTAAGTACGTATTTCATTAGAAAAATTTGTATACGCCTGCGGGATTCGAACACCGGTGCATCGCTACATACAAATGCACCGGACGTCTTATCCTTTAGGCCACGACGACTTAAACGCACACGCCATATACGTATCTCATTATGTGAACACAGACGCTAATTCATAATGAATAAGGGACAGACGATGATCTGAATAGAATTGTATTATCTAACCGTCTGTGGTATTTGATGATGTAAAGTCTGCGTCTGATGTAAGGCCGGTACGGGAACAGTTGTCCGTTGTTGTTGCTGGACCACGGGCTGGGTGACCTACAGACAGATTACAATTCATAATGAAAACGATAGTTGCAAGTTTAGATAGCGTCATAATGATTTACAAATTGAAGTTAATAGGACTGTATTTTTTGTGTAGACTGTAGAGAAGTCCCTAAACTTGCTATTCCCGACTGTGACCCATTAGGGAAAGTCATACCAACTACCCTCAGAAAAGGTCAATTTTAACTGTCGATGTTTCTGACCTCAACGATGATCTTAATGATGTAATCAAAACCTTCTGGGTCTGTATGTTTTGAACCATATTTCCTACAGAGTGCTATGATGGATAGTTTAAGAATTGATGCGCTCTCTACTGATAGCTTCTTTTCTTTAAAGAAAACATATGTTGTTGTTTTAGTGAGGACATATAACTCCACTTACTGGAATATGTTTTTTTTTTTATAATATTTTACTGAAGCTATAACTAATCAACTGTGTTTGCTGATAAGTTCAAGTGGTTTTGTAACCGATCTAAATATTTACTGTCCAATAAGATACCTGTTTAATATTATGCAGTAACACAGCTTTTCCACCAGGCTGCAGTAACACGGCTGAGGAGTTAAGCAGCGCCGGCACCAGAACCGGCTTCCCACCGCTCGCTAGCACCAGCTTGCCACCAGAAGGACCCTGGATTTTAAATAGTTGAATTAGTTAACAGCCCTATGCCCTTAAAAATAGGACCCTAAATGTTAGTAATTTACGGTTGAAATTTAAACAGTGCTAAGGAAGAAATAAAAAGCCGTTAAACTTATGGTTTAAAATCACAGATATTTCACCTTGTCTTTTTATATAATAATATTAACTAGCTGTACCCGTCCGATTTGTTGGGCATTTAAAATTATCATTATTATTTCTCACCCCCACAAAGATTCTCATTATTAACGCCCCCGCAACTGGTATAGAGAGTCCAACACGCATATAAATATTAGCGGATCCATTAAGTACGTGTATTTTCTACATGGATACCAAGTTTCAAGTCAATCGGATGCATGGTTTAGTAGTTATAACGGAACATACATTAAAAACCACAGTAGATTTATATATTAGTATAGATGTGTAGTTTTACCTGTACGAGTATGGGGCTGGCAAGAGGCGGGGGTCCGTCGTGCAGGAGTGCGGGGCGCGGGTCGGGGGACGCGGCGCGGGCGGGCGCGGGGGGCGCGGGGACCGGCCCGGCGGGAGGGGGGGACGCCGCGGGCGCCGGCTCCGAGCTGGGGACGCCTGCAAGGGGACGATATTACTTTATTCACTTACTGGCCCACGGTTAATTATCATCATAATGAGCGGAAAAGAGGCAGTCGGAGATATATATTTTTTAATGCTTAGATGGGTGGACGAGCTCACAGCCCACCTGGTGTTAAGTGGTTACTGGAGCCCATAGACATTTTTTTTTTTTTGGTCAGGAGGAAATCGCCGCACTTCCGCCCTTTTCTGGGGATACTGGGCGGGGTATGTCAGAGTCGAACTGACTAAAACCTCCTGTCGCTCAACAACCAACGTCCAAACCTCGCATGAGACAGAACTCATGACAAGGCAAAGGGGGGAAAGTGAAGCGTTTAGTGCGGAGCACATCTCTCCCATCACCCTCCCCCTCGGGACGCCGGACTGGCGGTCGTCGGCGCCACGACCACCAGCCCTCTCGGTCGGCAGACTGTCCGAAGCCCGCCTAGATGGCGCCGGTTAGAGTGGGTTACCCTACGGAATACCCCGCTGGGCCAGAACCAGCGTGGGTCGAGGATAGCCGGCCTTCCATCACCCGGATGCTCTTGCGTAAAACGCGTGCAGAGCAGCTTGCACGTCGTCTTCTTAGGCCCCCCTCGCCGGTCCCCAGACCGACATGTGAGGGGGACCCGAAACACTTAGAGGGCCAGGGCTTGGGCGAGATCCGCCTCCCTGGCCCCCGCTCGACGGCGGCGGGATTGTGCGTCTCTCACGCGCCCCGCCGCCTCCTTCTGCGAGATGGTGCACTCGCAGAAGTCGAGCATCGCCTTCCACGACTCGTCGTCGCCGAGCATCGATGCCACAACACTCGGCAACGACAAGTCGGTTCCTATTTTTGCGACGAGGACACGGCGCCACCCCTCCCATGCGGGGCAGGCGACGAGCGTATGCTCTGCCGTGTCCAAGTCGCAACCACAATGGTGGCACTCTGCCGTCGGCTCGGCTCCGATCCGGTGCAGGAACTCACCGAAACAACCATGCCCAGTGAGCACCTGCGTGAGCCGGAAAGTGAGGCGTCCTCTGTCACGATTCACCCAATCCACAAGGACCGGGCGAATCGCCTCGACGGTCCTACGACCAGCCGAAGGATCAGCCAGCCGTCTGGACCATGACTCCAGCGCCCATAGACATTTACAACGTAAATGCGCCACCCACCTTGAGATATAGGTTCTAAGATCTCAGTATAGTTACAACGGCTGCCCCACCCTTCAAACCGAAACGCATTACTGCTTCACGGCAGAAATAGGCGGGGCGGTGGTACCTACCCGGCGGACTCACAAGAGGTTCTACCACCAGTAAAATGTATTTTTCTTGTGAATAAGAAATATAATATGTATACTTACTTGTGGGAGGTTCTTCTGTTTTGTTGTTTTGTGTCTTATCACCGGCCGGCGGAGGGGGAGAGGGCGGGGCAGCGGCGGCAGCTTTCTTTGCGCCCTCCTCCATTTCTAAATGGAAATTATTTGCAAATTAATGTTATATTAACAACCATATTGGTTCATATTAATAATGTTCAATAGAGGGCCTCATTGAGCCTATATTGAGTCGACTTGATTAAGTTGAATTAGAAAGAACTCAGTTTTTATCTTAGAAACACTTACCTATTATAATTTTAAAAAATAGTGTATTTGTCTCGCGTTTATTGTTAATAATCGTGATATTCTAGGGATGTTGTAATATCAGCTTGTAGTTTTTTTTTTTCAATTATTATGTTTAACTTTAAATACAACAGCTAAATGAAATAGAAACATTGCCCAAATACAAATGGATAATTTTATAGTGTGCTCATTTTTGTACGATGACGTCAACATTCAAGACCCTAATATAAATGTGTATTATTGAGGACTTGCCTGGGTATTATGAAACAACAGTCATGTTACTTGTAGTTTAGATTTAATTATGAAGAGGACTTGGCGGAGAGGGGGAGGTTTGCTAGGAACCGGCAAAGTTCTTCCTATAGAATCCTACATATTGTTACGCCGATAAGAGTATATAGGTCCCGGACGAGCCCCCAGAGTGATGTTGCGGCTATGAGCTCAACTACAAAAAGTTATTGGGCACAGTGGGACAGCTTGGTCATCCAAGAAGGAGTTGTGTGTCGAATATGGGAAAATGCCAATGCCATCATTAGATGCTCGGGACGAGCCGAAACGAATATCTCTAGAATTATCGAGAACCTTCTTCACAAGTCGAGTATTTTGGATGTTTTTTTCGCTATGTGACAATAGATGGCGTTGTACTTCTCGAGCGTTCTAGATGTTACTAGATCCTTTGATATTCGTTTCGGCTATTCGGCGATAGATGGCGTTACTCTTAGCGGCGTAATATTATATTTAAGTAGTACATAATTTCCTCATTAGCTTCCGGATGATTTTTGTCAAATCTGTGAATCCAAAGAGCCATTGATCTCAAATATCTTCTTTCCCTTGTCAACTCCTCTTTCGTTTATATTCTTAGTTCATTAATTAACCATAATAGTATTAAGCTGTAGTTTGTCTGTCTTTTAACCAACTAACCGTTGTATATATTGTTATATTGTGTGCGTCTTATTTGTTTTAGGTAGGTACACAACAGCGATTCTGCCATCAAACATTAGCTAGGCATTAGCATCTTAGCTTCAAATATTAGCACCTTAGCTACTCACTTAAAGTTACAATCTGTGACTTTTCGTTCACGAAGCCCGCTTTAAAAAACAGAGTATTATATCGACGCTTGAAAGGCACACGTGACTAAGCGACAATGCGTGAACTTTACAGTAGACTGATTAAAAGTTGAAATACCTGAGAAAAATTCTATTTTAATGAATCTAGCTGTAGGATTGAAATGATTTTTTATAGACCTAGAAATATATTTTTTTTGCGCATCGAATATGGTTATTGCCTATCATTTATGTACAAAGCAGTTATTGTCGCTTAGTCACGTTTGCCTTTCAAGCGTCGATATACACTTGACATTGGCGAAATCTAAAAGGAAACGCCATTAAGCTCTTGGCTTGGTTGTGATATGACTGATATGTTACCAAGTTTTCTTCGTTTCTTGATCTGCGCATGCGTGGCGGGCTGGTCGGCGATGTCGAGGAGCTTGATGCCGGGACGCTGCGAGCGCCAGCCCGTGCCGCCCGCGCGCATGGCCGCACGACCCGCGCCCAACGACGGAAGACCCTTCAGCGGAGCTGGACACACACGGCATACATTTTTTTTTTAAAGGGATTTAATGACCTGGTAACTAAGACCTTTAGGTCAAGTCTTATTTAAATTTTAATGAAAACTTTTTTTTATTAGAAAAATGATATTATGAATGAAATGATATGGGATGAAAGATAATCTCAGTAAAATGGTGGTCATTTACTGAGACTTTTTTAGTGGACTTTTCGGAGGATCCCGAGAAGTTAGGCTTTTTTTGGTTTTTTTATTGCCTCTGTAGGCAGACGAGCATACGGCCCACCTGATGGTGAGTGGTTACCGTCGCCCATGGACGTCAGCAATGCCAGAGGCAGAGCCAAGCCGCTGCCTACCGAAAAGCGTTCAACGGCTTTGTTTGATTTTCCCACATTTATGCACTTTTACAGCACTTTACAAGACAGCTTATCCCAGCAAGAAAACTGCAATTGTTGTAAGCTTTTAATGTTTAAAATTGAATCTTAAAGTTGATTCTTTATTAATAACAAGACTTACTAGTATCTGTCATTTTCCGAGGCATCCCTCTGCTACGTATTGGTACGGTAGGAGCTTGAGCTTTCTTCTGATTTGCCTGAACCTCTGTAGCTTTGGCAAGGAGCTCGCTTCTGAGCGATGCCGATTTAGGTTTCCGTTTCAGTGTAAAATGTTTTATCGGATTTGTTTGTTGGCCAACCTGTAAGCATTCATAGAAGGGTGCCAGCTCCAACTTAAAAAGTTCTTTGGAAAGGACGTATATTTTTTTAAAATCACAATTTGATTGAAATGTTTTCGTTTAACTTGGAATATATGATTGTTATGACCCAATAATAGACAGAAAAGTATTAAAGTCACAATACAATATTATTTCTTCATGGTAGAAATTATTGATAAAAACAACAGCATAGTAACAAGCCTAAATATGCTTTTCAAAAAATTCATTCTAGCTTTATAGAATGAATTTTAGAATTATCACATATTTCAAATGATTTCATTACATAGGTAATTTTAATTGAAACAAATATGTAATTACATATAATAATAACTAGCGGACCCGACAGACTTCGTAGTGCCTCAATCGGTAAATAAAAGACCTAAATTTTTTGTATAAAATAAACTTAAAACAAACAAAAGGAATCATTCCAACGGGGGACACATTAAAGGAAAAACAAAATTGTTATTTTTATTTAATTCCGAGCATTTTCATATTTAGCTACCTTTTAAACCTTCTCTGGACTTCCACAAATAATTCAAGACCAAAAATAGCTAAATCGGTCCAGCCGTTCTCGAGTTTTAGCGAAACCAACGAACAGCAATTCATTTTTATATATATAGATAATAAAATAATGGAAAAAAATAACACAATAAAACTTACCACAGATACTAAAGCATTCTTATTTAAATACAGGCACTCCAGCGGTAATAATCCTAGATCCGAATGTTTGGCTAAAGCTCTCCTTAACTCTCCAATCATATCACTAAATATTGGTCTCGTCTCATCAAACTCTGCTATCTCTGTATTAAGGGTGCCAGCTGAGGGGTACGTTTTGAGGACTTCAGCAAGCATCGCCACCCAGAGGTCTGAATCCATTGCAGCAACTTCAAGGATCTCTTCGAGTTCACTTTTCCACTGGTATTAGAATACAGTTTTAAAATGATATTCTGGTGTTTTGAAGCAAGCGAGAAACAGGAATATGATTTGAAAACTACATGTAGTTTTGCAGAAAAGACTCAGTTGGCTCAAACAAACATTAAGCCATTTAAATTCTTTCTAGCAATTTTGTGGCAATGATTCAATTCCCAGCAAATAAAACTAACTGTTCTCTCTTTCTGCTAAAGTATATGTACATACTTTAATAACCATTAACTTGATATAAATCAAACATACCAAATTTTTTACTGAGCCAAAACTCTTAATATTTCTTTTAAAGCTGTTTTCAGATATAATGTAATATTTCCATTAATAGATTATTAGCTAAGCTTATTATAGCTACAATATGTTGTATTCAGCATATTGTAGCATATAATAATTTGAAAATTAAGAAACTAACTTCCACTGCATTTTTAACTAAGTGACTAAAATAATTTCAGCAAACAGTATTAGAGGAATTATTTCAAATTATATCTGAATTTTAAACATGTTTTTGTTTTTACGTTCCCATAGTTAAGCTCTAACTGTACAATTTATGGGGCCTGGCCACCTTTTAACAATAACCAGCATCTTGCTTGACTCATCTTAAAGCACAAAGTAGATTGTAATAAATTGTAATAGATTTTCTAGTATCCTTTTTCCTTAACAGAATATCACTATAGCTCATGTCATTTTATTTGCTACTCAGCCTTTTTAAAAACACTACCATTAATATTTTAAGAATGAAATAGAACCAACAGAAGCATTGAATTGTAAGAATGATATTACAAACTGTTGCATTTGTTTTAATTTGCTCAATTCAATACTTAAAAACAATATTTACTAATGATTTTAGTCAAAAATTCGCAAATTATATCAGGAACACATATTGCAGTAATGTAGTCTGGGTATTTAGTGTTAAACATTTTTAAGCCACTGCAATTTAAAAAAATGACATGGCATATCACTAAGAACGTGTTATTTATCATGTTGAATTTTATACTGTAACATAGCTTGAATATTTTGCAACAAACATGATTTTTATGTGTTTAATTTCGAATGTCACATTTAACATATTTTTGTAACTTTTATAAATGAATATAGAAAACTACCCAGTGATTAAATAGTCGTTCGGAAATAAATTTGTTCATTTTAATTTAAAACAATACCCTTTCAAAAATATTTTTCAGTAAAATCCAACATGTAAATTCATTACGACAACAAATAAATACTTGACATTTAGGCATCTCACTCGCACGTACACTTTTCAGGGTGACAGAAAGTGACACGACACTAAACAGTTACGCAAATCCGAACATCAAATTGAAAAGTTATACCTCTTCAACATTTCTGCGCGGGATATGAAAGAAACTTAGTAATAATTTCAATTTCACTTGCGGTTGTAATTCTGGAAAACAGTCTTTTATATTCTTTAATACTTCAGCGTTTAATTGTGAACAAATCGAGCCACTTGTCCAAGAATCGTTCGATGTACCGAGTTTATTGTGGAGCCACAAAGATATGTCACTATCCCGCACGTTCGCCATCTTGTAACTGAGATAGTGACGTGTCGTGGATGTTCCAGCTGCAACTATAGAAAATCGATTTCATTTTTATAAAAATCGATTTTACCAATTGATTGCCGTTCAGCAAACCAAACATATCGAAACATATTGAAATTAGGCCAAAATAGCTTAGAAGTTAAGCTAAGCTTAAATTTGACGTGCTTTACCCGGAATAGGAACACGCTGCTGCAACATAGGCTAAGCGGTGGTTTTTACCGGTAGGAACTCGCGATACGCTACAGCGCGCTGTACCACCAATAAAATAGCCTACTTACTAAATCTACTTCTTCGTAAATCGATCTTAATTTAATTTCAATAAACTTAATCCCATCTTCATTTTCGTATTTTCCTTTCCATTTTAATTTTAATTTAGAAGATTGGGCTATATCAGTAAAGTCTGTCCTATGCAATTTGACAATTGAAATAAAAAAATCGATTGGATACGAAAATCGTAATTAAATGAAACATTATAAAGCGGGGTTTTTAGGTTGGAATGCGAGAACTTTAGATCTTTATGTACCTACATTGTTTTAATTAGTCTTTAAGCTTATTTGTGTATTAGGGTGGGTTATGAACTGTTTCTTCTTCTTCTTCGACTTTTAAGATGTCATTGTAACTAATGCCGAGTTTATAAAAATCTTCAATTATTAAACGCATATTCTGTAGCATGTTAAAGGATAGAGCGAAATAAGATAAAATTAATTAAGACTGGTATCAATCGGGATGACATGTAATGAAACGAGATGAGACACGATGAAATAAAGGCTCAGTAAAATGTTGGTTATTTACTAAAACTTCAGTGGACTTTTTGGAAAAACCCGACTAGCCATGTCCAGCAGCTTTGTTTCATTTTCTCACATTAAACATAAAATAAATAAAAAATAATTAATTCACACAACCTCACTCCTCGCGTTCCCGTTAACTGTTAAACATTACGAAATTGTACAATTATAGGGGGATTTGACGAAATCGATGTCTTCTGAGATTCTTAAAAACAGTTGAAATATTTTTAATTTAATTCGTCTCTAATTTAGTGAGCGCGTAAAGATATTCACTACTTTATATACTTCATTCCTTTTAAATTTCAAAATTCAAAACGAATGTATGGATCAAAATTTATGTCATAACTTTTTGGCGGGATCACGATGTCTATTGCACTCACTGAAGTAGTACTATATAGGTCTATGATTGCACTGAAGTATGAAGCCTATGGAAATGAAACGTCAACAAAAAATGCGTGCCCATTGCGTGCAATGAAGTAGGAAACCTATGGAAATGAAACGTCAACCAAAATTTCGTGCCACTGTGACGTCATCTGGCCACAAAACATGGCGGCTTTAGTGCTGTACAAATGATTTCAATGTTATCAGGTTTTATCGATAAACGTTCTTGGCTCATTTTATTTTAAATATTGTTGAGTATTATTTATTTGTAAAATTTATAGTTTAATGGGAAGCAAGTAGGTATATTGTTATGTGCAAATATGATATGATTTAGATGGGTGAAATCTAAGACAAGTTCGTCCTTCGAATTTGCCAAGTAAACGATATGATGATTTTTAAAAGTTGCTACACTGATTTTATAAAGTTGTCGTTTGTCGCAAAACATAAAGATATGGCGTAGTTCAAAGCCATCAGCCCATTTCTAGCATGCTAAATGTTATCGTATTTTGAGTACGTGTTTTTCTTAGACTATTACAATCTATTTTAATTGTTTTGCTGACTCTAAAGTCCGTAACATACTACCGCAGCGCACCCCAAGGAAGGTGCGCCGCACCATTTGAATCACTTTCGCTTGAGAGTGATTCAAATTTTAAACTTATCAAGGGACCGCGTGAAAAAAAAAACACCTACAGAACATTTATTCATTAATTACAAACGTCATTCCTTGTGACTTCCTCTCTAAAATCACTTAATTATTAAATATTTAACAAATTTACAATAGTGTTTTACTCACTGCGGAATAAAACTATTTTATTTAAATAGTTCCGAAGAGATTTTGTCGGTAGCCTTTTTCCCGAAATATCTAAACAGAATGTCTAAATATGTTTTGATGACATATTTTAAAGTGGTATTTATGATTAGTGTCATGATCAATAGATTCCGACCGAAAAATGGATTTTTCGGATGAGGGCTCCATAATGAATTTAAATACATATAGATAATAGTTTTAGGGCATCGACTTTCTTGAGATCCTATAAAATACGTTTTAATTATTATTTTTGTATGTTTTAAGCATGATAAATTATGAAATTTTATATAATCAATCATATTAAATCGATATCAAAGTCAATAAATAATGTACAACCCAAAACAGACGGCCGAACTGACGTGACAATGACATTTGGCGCGCTAAACATGGCGGATTTTCGGCCTCATTAGACGGAGACGGAGATATTTACGTATATTCATGTTTCATTTTATGTACGCACTGAAATACTGTTATATTGTTTTCCTGCGAGTTAAAGTGCTGAGTAGGAACGAGATAGATATATGTTTATGTATGTGCCTTCAAAATGGGTGATATTTATTTAAGCAATTGTACGTATAGAACAATATGTCGTGTCCCTACTATATAGGTCTATGATTGCGTGACACTGTGACGTCATCTGGCCGCTAAGCATGGCGGTTTTAGTGCTGCCCAGATTTTAATGCTATTAGGTTTTATCGATAAACGTTCTTGGCTCATTTTTTTTTAAATATTGTTGAGTATTAATTATTTGTAGAATTTATACTTTAATAGGAAGTAAGTATATTGTTATGTGCAAAGATGATGTGATTTAGGTGTGTGAAATCTAAAACAAGTTCGTGCTTCAAATTTGCCAAGTAAACGATATAACCATTTTTAAAAGTTGCTACACTGATTTTATAAAGTTGTCGTTTGACAACTCAATGACCGCAAAACATAAAGATATGGCGTAGTACAGTGCCATCTGCCCATTTCTAGCATGCTAAATGTTATCGTCTCGCTCGCACTTGCGTATATGCCGGAAAGGGGTGAAAGCTTTATGTCGACGATAAAACGTTAGCATGCTAGCTATGCTGTTTTGGATATCAAAATAAGAGTACGTGTTTTTCTTAGACTATTTATCTCTGTATTACAATCTATTTTAATTGTGTTGCTGACCTAAAGTCCGTAACACACTACCACAGCGCACCTCAAGGTAGGTGCGCCGCACCATTTGAATCACTCTCACTTGAGAGTGATTCAAAATTTAAACTTATCAAGGGATCGCGTGATAAAAAAACAAACAACTTCAGAACATTTATTTAATTACAAACGTCATTCCTTGTGACTCCCTCTATAAAATCACTTAATTTAATATTAATAATTAATTGATATGAGTCAACTGCCGGAGAAGAGAGAGATAGAGAGACAGAGAAGTTAATGTATCCTAATATATGTCTCACTCAGTCTCATGCGCGTGGATAATGCCCTCGCGCTCTTACACACAGAGGTATTAAATTGAATTTAGGGGATGATTGGCCCCTTGGATCAGTCTGTCTTTTTGTAAGAGGTTTTAAAGTAGTTGTCTGGTGGACATATATAAAAATAAGCTTTCAGAATTTACGTGAAGTTAGGTAATTATTTTGGGAGCTTTAAAGCGTCTGCAAAGCAATTCGGCCGACGGAAAGTGTCTGGGAGTGTTGGCGACTTATTTTTAAGGATATTGCCTAAACTATACGTAAAAATCAGCTTTCAGAATTTACGTGAAGTACGTAATGATTTTATGTACCTTGATTACCTGATACCTGAAAATTGGCCGTCTAACCAAGCTAGCAGGTAGTCATGCGTTCTTAGAACATATTAACACTACTCAATCGGCCACATTTCGTTCGTCAGAAAATACGTGACGTCTGGTGGCCCTGGGATCTTGGACTATCACGCAGCCGAAAGGCTAAAGTATGAAGGGTACCTAATGGCATGTTAAATTTAGAATTGTAATATTTGTACAATATTAAAATAAGAAACTATTGATGAAAAATAGTATTCTTTTTACCATTCTAAAATACTGTTTTTTTGACATGATATATTTTAAAAGTACTTAAAACTTCGAAAAATAATAGAAGTAGTTTCTTAACCAAGGAGGTAATACATATTAAGTACCCCTAACAGTGTGAACTGTTTAATTTTGTTAATTTAGTGTTTCTTTAAGCTTAAATGCTTCTTAATGGTGGCTTATTAACCGTTTAGCATCTGTGATAGGGTACAGGTATGAGGAAATGAACTAAGCCATGGGACGTGGTTTTCTGTCCTGTGGTTTCTTGTCCTCCAAAAAGCCTTCTGAAGTTTCAGTGAATTCTCATCACTGTAATGGTACGTTACTGATTAAAATTTGATATAAAGCAACTTCATTTCATTTCGCTCTTTTTTCCTTAGCATTATTGAAGATTTTTATAAACTCTACGCTGGCAGCACTGGCAAGAAGTCAAGTGCAATATTATAGAAAAAGAAAGGGCACCCATTAATTCTAGCCTAACAATTAATCTAATTAGTACCTATGTAACTAAAACTTAATTAAAAATTGTTCTAGTGATCATCTTAAATAATAATCGCAATTTAAGTTTAGCGATTATAGCGTTCTTTTTGTTGTTGACGATAAACTTAAATACTTTTAGGAAATATGTTGTCAACTGTCGTCGTTGCGGATTGAACTCAAACTGCAGTATAGGAAGCACTTATTTATTCCACACGCACCTTAAAGTCGCATACATTAACAATTAATTAGCTTTTTATCTTTGAATCTTTTAAAAACGTAGAACACAAATTTTTATCCATGACATTTTATCCCTCAATCTGACAGCATGTCTTTTTCTTAGGGATGTCCATAGATTATACACTTAATATATTTGAGAGGGATGTCTATCGTTGCTAGTGCTGTGTGTGAAAAAACCATTCACCACAAACTTTCATTTTTGCGCTAAACGTATTGTCAATCAATAGTCTCTGTCATATAATTGAGGTGACATCTGCCATGAACTTTTGTCAATTTGTCAATGTTTTGTATTGATGATCACTTTGTTGGTGCGACTTAATAAATAAATAAATACTCTTTGGTAGTGATTAAAGTCATCATCATAATGATCTTAAATCACTGAAGTATAAATATTAAGTATATTATCTATGATTAATATGATGTTGTCAGTTTTCTTTGGCAACGCATGTTATTGACAAAACTTAATACACCATTGAAATACTCAATACACGGAGAGTTACACAAATGATTTTATGAAGTAAACTATGTCTGTTGATTCGGAATCATCGTTAGGCTTGAATATTTACGAAGAGGATTTAAATGACACGAAAACGTGTAATTTATCGAATCAGGCTATAGAGTTCGTGCCAGAAATTGAAAATCGATTGCTTCTATGTGTAAGTGCCTACGGAAAATGAAACAATACCTTACTGTTGTATGTATTTCGGAATTTTACTTTATTAGATAGGTACGTGTATTTATCGTGGTCACTATGGTTTGATCATTGCCGATCCTGCGGACCGAATGGTAAACAGTCGACGGCGCCCAAAACGCGTCATTTCGGATCCTTCCGATCTACTAATGGTGCTTTTAGGTATGCCAAGCAATGGTCGTTGTTCTCATCGAACCCGTCGCTTGCCACGAAGGGCTCGGCGATTAAATGAACCCACAGACTCAGCCCACTAGTTTCCCGCTGGATCTTCTGAGTGGGTCGCGTTTCCGATCCGGTGCTAGATTCTGCGAAGCACTGCCCTTGCTAGAGTTAGTGTTAGCAACGACGTTAGGTTGGAGCCCCGTGAGCTTACTTACTAGTTCGGTGAATCTAGAATAACCCCTCGAGGTTACTAGAATAGGTAGGACTTTATAGGTAGGATTTATCACTGGTGGTAGGACCTCTTGGGAGTCCGCACGGGTAGGTACCACCACCCCACCTGTTTCCGCCGTGAAGCAGTAATGCGTTTCGGTTCGAATGGTGGGGTAGCCGTTGTAACTATACTGAGATCTTAGAACTTATATTGACTTCCACGGTGAAGGAATAACATCGTGTAATAAAAATCAAACCCGCATAATTGTAATTTGCGTAATTACTGGTGGTAGGTACCTCTTGTAAGTCCGCACGGGTAGGTACCACCGCCCTGCCTATTTCTGCCGTGAAGCAGTAATGCGTTTCGGTTTGAAGGATGGGGCAGCCGTTGTAACTATACTGAGACCTTAGAACTTATATCTCGAGGTGGGTGGCGCATTTACGTTGTAGATGTCTATGGGCTCCAGTAACCACTTAACACCAGGTGGGCTGTGGGCTCGTCCATCCATCTAAGCAATAAAAAAAAAAGGTAGTGTAAAAAAAAAATTGTGAGAATTGTAGTGTAATTTTATTCCCATTTGATAGTTATCTTGTGGATATCACCAAGTTAGGTATAGTTTATGTTTAATAAAGGAAAAAAAGTAAACAGCACTTTTGAGAATTTATTAACAATACGTAGATAAGCAATCAATTTAACTAAATTATTAATTTTACTTACTTATTAATTTACTTACTTATTATTTTTCAGGTACTATACCTCCAAAACAACAAAATCAAGACCCTACCGGACGAATTCTTCCCATCACTACCCGCTTTAATGTATCTCGATTTGAGAGATAACATCCTTACCGACCTACCTGTGACGATACAAAATCATCAATGCCTAACGCATTTATTATTACAAAACAACAAATTAACGTCATTACCAAACGAGCTAGGTTCTGTGGTTACATTAAAAGTATTGCAACTGGCGGGAAATCCACTTATGTATCCGCCTCGAGAGATAATAATGGCGGGAACTCGGAAAATTGTAACCTATTTACACGAGAAATATATTGAGAATATATTTGCTCGCTCGCAATCGGTAGGCTCCGATGATGCGATCGGTACCTACGAGGAGAACCATAAGGACTCTTCGAAACCGGAACTGGCCAGTTTTAGTTCGGTTCACGGCGGGAAATTGAAATGCTTGTCGGTTCAATTCAGCGAAAAGGAACACGATGATTCCGATGAGGAATATTACGCGAAAATCAAAGGGAAATGTCCCAAACTACCGAAAAGTAGGACCAAATCGATACTGTCGTACACTCAAAGCGCGAAGTACTTAAAGGCGCTGAGAGCTGACAACGTAGACATCCAAAACGAGAAGATAAAAATTAATTATTTAAAAGAGCGTGCGCTTAAGAAACATAAAGAATTGATGGTTAAAAGAGATAAAATCTTGCAGGAGAGAAAGTAAGCATTATCTTATACCTTTAAACGAGCAATTCTTGTTTAAATTTTAATATATCTATAATCTGAATCGGCTGAAAATAAATATGAAAGGTTATTCAGTTAAAATTTGACACTGCTAACGCAATTACCTACGCATTCTCAGCATTATTCCTTTACGCACGTTTGACCGTTTATTTATTTCTTATAACTACCTACTTTTTTTCAAAAGACCTACGGTTATTTTTTATTTTTTATTGCCCTTGTAGGCAAACGAGCATACGGCCCACCTGATGGTGAGTGGTTACTGTCGCCCATGGACTTCAGCAATGCCAGGGGCAGAGTCAAGTCGCTGCCTACCGCTAGTTATATTTTTTTAAATCAAATGATATCTATGTAATGCAAAAATGAATCTAATCACACGTTAAATCGTCAGAAACGCCGAGCTCCTAAAAAAATGGCGTCAAAATTATCGACAAAGCAAACAGAGCGCGGGATGCACATACAGACTCGATCCTAAGTCTTACCCATACGACACTAATCCGGACCACATGACCTTCTTAACGAGAGAAGACATTGAGAAAGACTTGCCCGACAAATACAAGAGACGTTTGCTGCGTAAGTCCAAACTGACTGTACCGAGGAAAACGAATAATGACGTGCATCTAGCCATGAAAATAAAGCAGCTGTTTGAGAACCTCGAAGCTATTGACCTCAACAGAGAGGGTATGACCCCGAGGACGGAACAAAAAGTCTTGCTAAATGAGATCCAGAAGGTACGTTGTTTTTTATTGCTTAGTTGACTGGACGAGCTCACAGCCCACCCGGTGTTGTGGTTACTGGAGCCCATAGACATCTACTACGTAAATGCGCCACCCGCCTTGAGATATGAGTTCTAAGGTCTCAGTATAGTTACAACGGCTGCTCCACCCTTCAGACCGAAACGCATTACTGCTCCACGGCAGAAATAGGCAGAGTGGCGGACTGACAAGAGGTCCACATCGTTACCAGTATGTAACGATGTCTTGATAATTATTTCATTGGCGAAGCAGCTGCTCTTGAGTTGTTAGGTCTCCTTTAGAGGCGCTCGCGCCTTCAGACACAGCCCACTGAGTTTCTCGCCGGGTCTTCTCAGTGGATCACGTTACCGATCCGGTGGTAGATTCTGTGAAGCACCGCTCTTGCTAGGGCTAGTTAGCAACGTCGTCAGGTTTGGGCCCCGTGAGCTCACCTACTATACCTACACCTAAAAAGTATTTTTATTTGTGTCAATCGCAGTTTTTTCGAATGATATCGATTAATATAGCTGATTTTCCTTATCCATTTCAACACAAAAGTTTAAAATTTAAAAATTTATCTTTGGCTCAATTAAGGAAGCTATTGCTTTTATATTTGATTAATTTCGCAATATTCCAGATATCCGAGATTAAACAGAAGCTAATGGAGTTGTCTACAACAAACACTCAATCGGTCGAAGCGGATTGAGTATAATAATCTAAATTTAATTTCATCCAAAATCGTGATTGTGATTCGTGTAATAAATACTACTTACATACATGCCTATTGTCTTATTTCTTTTTCGATTCAATCATTTTATTTATGAAATATGAAAGCTATATTTTCATGAAGGGCATGTAGTTCGTATAAAGGAGACCAGAATGCCAAGAAAACTGCTCTATGGCAAACCACAGGGCCGCAGAAGTCGTGGCAGACCCCAAACTCCGATGGTTAGATGGCGTAGAGTACGACCTTAAAGCTATCGGTGTTAAGAACTGGAAGGAGAAAAGCCCTGAACAGAGCAGTCTGGAGAGACATACTGGATGAGGCTTAAGGCCCACCCTGCGTTGTAAGGCCTAAGATGATGATGATGATGATATCGACGCTTGAAAGGCAAACGTGACTAAGCGACAATGCGTGAACTTTACAGTAGACTAATTTAAAGTTGAAATACCTGAAAAAAATTATATTTTAACGAATCTAGCTGTAGGATTGAAATTATTTTAATAGACCTAGAAATATATATTTTTTGCGCATCGAATACGGTTATTCTCTATCATTTATGTACAAAGCAGTTATTGTCGCTTAGTCACGTTTGCCTTTCAAGGGTCAATATATTATCATGACTCGTCAAATGTTTCATATTTTTACTGATAGGTGTATTGTAAGCATGCACGGGTGATTACCACCATTTTGTCCTAAATGTCCGTTCTGATTGGAGATTGGGACAACCATTATATTAAACGATTGATATTGCAGACTGCAAATCGATTGCCGTAAGTAAATGTTCACTTCTCTCACTCTCCGCGACTCTAAAAACCACGATAAAATTTGGTGTCGTTTTCTGAACGTATTTTTATTGCCATAAATCTCTTTACTATTTAAATATGGCAATAAAATATACGGGTGTATTACAGTGGATTCCGATACGGTCCAGATTTAGACGGTAACTCATGGAACACAGTGCTCTGGTTTCTCTTTTCTTCTTAATCCTTTCACTCTTGACAGAGTAGTCGTAATCGTTACATTGCCTCGGAACTGGCCTAGCTAGAATAGCCTCTTAGGTTATCAGAGAATAGGTAGAGAAAAAAGAAGGGGCAGATCTGTCGCCTACGATGTTCTGCCAACTCTTTCTACTTGAGACCATTTTGCAAACTCATTTATGGGACCTTTTGCAGTACTCCTGATTAGGTCGGTCCACCACTTCGGACTTTGTAGTAACAACTATAGTCTGGTAAAAGTGTACTAATTAAAAATAAACGGAATATAATTATCGTTTACGAATACGCAATGTAATATGTCCAAGCTCGGGGATCAACGGCCGCACTCGAGTTGCGCGGGTCGAACACACAGGCGGCGCCTTCGGTCAAGGTAATTGACCCCGCCTTCCCTTTGTGTATCATTGATGTTATAAACACAAAAAGGATTTTTTTCCATAGATGCTTTGTTTTCGTGATTTTTTTCCTTGCTAACTAATAATATAAGATTTATGTTATTAAAAAGATTGAATTTTAAAGTATAGAAAACTTTATTGCTTGCTGTCACCGACAATGGCGTCCTCCGTGTAACATAATATTATGGTTAATCTTAAATAAAGATTACGTGAATACAAAAATGATTTATAAACCTATAAACATACATTATACATATTTATTCATATTAATTTGACGTTTACAAAAATACGTAATGCATCAATTACTAAGAATTAACTGAAAATTATACATACATTATACATATATCTAAACAGTACAGATTTTGATAAACAAAATATGTCACCGGTTGTGATAACGAGGGGCGAAAGCTTATTTGGTTTAAACGAGATTTTTGCAATTTTACAGGAGAACCATTAAAAAATTAGAATTTAGAAAAACTAACATGACAAAAAAAAATCTTCAGCTAGGTAATTGAATGGAGTACATTTAATTGTAGTTCAATTAAAAACATCGAACTGTTGATGCTAATACCAAATAAAACGCACCTTTAATTACAAAGATAAATATAGCTTAAAGCAAATAGCCTTTCACCTCTCTATATAAATAAATATTGAAAAAAAAACTGTTAATGATTGTTCTAGAATTATTCAATATATTTAGGTACGTTGACCGTACATGCAGAAAAGAAAAAAAAAACTAAACTAACACAATTTTCGATGAAGCTGTGATACTTCACAAACTATGTATATTTACTAAAGCAATATGGCCAAACTGAAGCAAATAAAACATCGCTGCCTAACGAAATCACAAAAAACGTTTAACTTTACATAATATTCTAAGGGGATAATTTATAAAAGTCTATAATTTAAAGGAACTTTCAAATAATCTAATAATGCTTTATGATAATTTTAATGACTAAAACGCTGATGCGAGAGTGAAGCAAGCTTTAATTGGACACGAATGGTTTCGATTAGAGATGGCGTTAATGGTTGAATTTATTTATCTGTTAACTGGTAATTGATAAAAAAAATTACCGATATTTTTATTGGTTGAAAATACCGGTAAATCTTTTCGTTGAAAAACTAATTTTGCTAATGTTAAACTTGAATGGTAGAGTTTCTTACATTTATTTTCGATTCAGTGAACTTTAGAAGCTACAGGCTTAGGGCTAACTAGCTTAACTAATTAGTACGAAATGATTAGTGGGAAAAACTCTTTACAAATTTTCCACCACGGCGGTGCGCTGGTTCAATATTTTTGAATTGATTTTTCTTACAATAATTACACATTGCAATTTTTTCCGCTCCCAAGCACTTTTCGAAATGATCCCATATTTCTGCATTGCGTTTCGGCATTTTAAATTAGATATACACTTTAAAAATCCACAACAACAAAGTAAGCAAAGTCTCAAACACACAAAAACAAAGTCAAAACACACAAACACAAAGTACAAATCTCTTAAAATACAAAAACACAACTTTACCAAAATAATAGAAAAGATGCACTGAGCCGCCAAAATGTCAAGTACCAAACAAAATATTACGTTTAAAAAATCAACCAATCGCGTCATCTTCGCGTTCGGTAAAAATATCGTTTCATTTCAATTTTTTAACGAAAAAAATTATCATTAACTGTAAAATACACCAACTTAAATATTGTGCTTTATTTTGAGGGGTATAGAGCATACAATGAAATCATAAAATTCAATATTTTTTACATGATAAGTTGAAAACATCTGCAAGGCGAAAATGAATCTTACGTGTTGAAATAAAGTTGAAACTTGCATAAATATAATTTCCAATAATTGCCTATGCCACTACACGCAGTGTGTTTGTTAAACGGTATTTTTAACCGTTTTGGGTAATTTTATTTATCGAATAGAAGTGTTAATTTTTTTTACCGGTAAATTTATTGGTTAATGGTTATATTAGCCACCTCTAGTTTCGATCAAGAGTCGACAGTATCACACTGGCGATCGGTGTGCTTAGTGCGAGTTTCTTAACGTTCTCGATAGCGTAAAAGTTAAGCCAATTTTGTATGCAATTGGTACAGCGCCCCTAGCGGCAAACGTACGCAAACGATCCCATTCCATACAAATGAGTCGTCTATTATCAAAGGTGGCATTTGGACAAAAAAATGTTATTGATATGTCAACACAGATTGATTTGAATATAATCGTCTCCTTCAAAGAATACGGTTCAAAACCTGCATTGAATAAAGGTTAATACTTAACCTGTTATTTATCTAAGATGTCGTTCAGAAGAGTTTTGTGACTGCCAATGGAATACAAAGTCAATAATTCGTTTTTCTGATTTACCAATAATTGCCCAAAAGTCACATTGCCGGGCTTTGATAATAGTCGACTCAAATATGAGCTAACTTTTACGCTATCGAGAACGTTAAAAAACTCGCACCAAGCACACGGATCTATAAAAATGTATATTACACTGTTTTTACATCGAAACTTTCTACACTCGCGAGCAAAAGTTTGGAATCACTTACTTGAAATTGATTCCGCGCGATCTTGTGTACTAAATATTTTTTTGATAATCATAAAAATGAGATCATTTTAAAGGTTGAATTCCTAACTTTAAACTGATACCAAATTCATTAAAATCAAGCCAGTATTTAAGAAGTTATCTTGGATTAAGTGAAGGAATAACGAAAAAGACGTGTTTCAATTGCTTGATACGTCGCGAGTTGCGGCCTACTGACCCCTATAAAAGCACCTGTTATCGGATTTTCTTTATCAGTCGACTTTCACACGTTGACTGGTACATATCTCGGCTACTTTTGACCCTTTACCTTGTACGACAATTGGGACAACACCTACAGAAGTAGCACAAATCGTAGCCCTATTGCAAGAAGAGCTCAGCCAGCGGATTGTCGCTCGTCGGCTCCAAATAAGCCATTCCTGTGTTTCAAAAGTTTGCAAGCGCTTTCAAGAGACTGGTAGCTTTATCCCGAGACCAAGATCTGGACGGCGCCGGGGCACATCGGAGAGGAATGACCGTTTTATCGTGTTAACCTCTCTCCGAAATCGGCATTAACCTGGTGTCGACGTCCAACAGGAGCTCCGAGATGTTCGTAGGGTAGCAGCTAGCAAGTAGACAGTTCGTCGACGACTCAAGCAAGCGAATCTGACTCCAAAAAGGCCTGTCACAGGCCCGAAACTCACGGTAGCTCATCGACAAGCACGCCTTCAATTTGCTCGTACCAATCTTAATTGAGAGGTTGAGCAATGGAGGCAAATCCTGTTCTCCGACGAGAGCAGGATGTGTTTGCATGGTAGCGACCGAAGAGGTTGGGTCTACAGGCGGCCTGGGGAGCGATTTGCGCAGTGCTGTTTCGCTGAAACAGTGGCTTATGGGGTCGGCTCTTGTATGATGTGGGCCGGCATTTCCTTCGACGGTAAAACCGAGCTTGTTTTCGTGCCTGGCGGGGGACGAGGAGGCGGTCAACTTCGGACGGGTACATTTCCAATATTCTGCTGGAACATGTCGTTCCCTATGCGGGATATGCCGGTGATAGCTTCCTCCTTAAGCACGATAACGCTCGTTGTCACACTGCCCGTGGAACAACTGAATACTTCGAAGAAGTCTATATCGCCACATTGGACTGGCCTGCGCTCAGCCCTGACTTGAATCCTATTCAGCACGTGTGGGATGAACTGAAGAATAGGGTTCGTTCCAGAACTTCTGCTCCTTCATGCCTGAATGAGCTGAAATCGGCGTTGATTGAGAAGTGGGAAGGTATCCCACAAGAATCAATTCAAAAGCTGATCAGGTCTATGAAGAATCGTCTTCGAGGAGTTATTAGGGCAAGGGAAGGGAACACAAAGTACTGACATTTAATTTTAAGGCTAAATAAAATTTTTATTTATTAATTTTTGTTGTTTTATGCATTCATTATTTTTCCATATTTCCTTTGTTTCCTACCTCCTTCACTTAATCCGGAATAGCTCCTTAACTACTGGCTCGATTTGAATGAATTTGGTATCAGTTTAAAGTTAAGAGTTCAACCTTTAAAATGATCTCATTTTTATGATTATCAAAAAAATATTTAGTACACAAGATCGCGCGGAATCAATTTCAAGTAAGTGATTCCAAACTTTTGCTCGCGAGTGTAGATCATTTTCAGGCGTTTCGTGCGAAGTTTGTCGAAGGCAATTAATAATTATAATTTTCTTTTGTCAACATGGTCACAACAGAGTCGGACCGATTGATATATTAAAGACGTTTTTATTTTAAACTAAAGACCCGCCCTCGCTTCGCTTCGGAAACATTAAATTATTATTGATGGCTGTGTCCCGCGATGTAACCCACGGTTATTGTCATACCGCGGGTCGAAACTAGTCTAAAAAAAGTAGCCTAAGTTACTCTTTATATCATTAGCTATCTATCAGTGAAAGTCTCGTCAAAATCGGTCCAGTCGTTTCAGAGATTAGCCGGAACAAACAAACAGACAGACAGACAGACAAACATTGTAAAAAATGTTATTTTGGTGTATATACCGTACATATTATATTCATATGCATGTAGTAAAAAACGGTTACTTCAATGTTACAAGCAGACACTTCAATTTTATTTCTATGTATAGATGATACGTCGCTTAGCTATCAATATGTACACCCATTTATGTCGAAAAATTCGAATTTAATTCGTTTTCAGCGGAAACAATAAAAAAACTGAATATTCTTCTAAGAAATTTGTTTAAATATGTATAATGATTTAAGAAGGTATGTGTTTTAAATAAGTGTAAATAGGTATACACATTTGTTGTGATCGCTTTGCAAAAAAATTTACGATACCTATATTCCATATATTACACGCAATGTAATAAGAATCATTCTTCTACTATTGCGGGTTATCAATTTAAACTTCTAATAAAACTGATGGATCACATATTGATTTTATTTTTTAATGATGGCACTCTGCAGTTTTAGTACAGGTCTGAAACCATCTTAAAATCAAACTTGTACCGATAAATCCAGTGCACACATAAATTAGTAATAATCTGTGTAATTTGTCCAAGCTGTGCTTGCAACACCAATAAACTGGTAAACTTCGTTCATATTTAAATTATGAATCCTTAGTCAAAACAATTTGTGTTTCCCAACCAAAATGTGATTTATCGGTTTCTGTTCCCACTCCCCTCCTTTAAACTTGTCGCAAGTTCGACTTAAGTTAGATCTTTATTACCGTTTCAGAATACGGAAGAGTCCATCAGTGTGCTTAGTGCGTGTTTTTTAACGTTCTCGATAGCGTAAAAGTTATCTCATATTTGTATGGAATAGGCTCGTTTGCGTACGTTTGCCGCTAGGGGCGCTGTTCCAATTGCATACCAAATTGGCTTAACTTTTACGATATCGAGAACGTTAAGAAACTCGCACTAAGCACACAGATAACGGACAGCTATGGCAATGTTTTCGGATGCCTTATTAATATGGAGGGTAGACAAATTGAATAAGTGTCCACCTGTAAACACCAAGTTATGGTTGGAAGACACTGAAACAGCGCAAGTGTAGGAAGTGGAAATGATATTATTACGCCGATAAAAGTAACGCCATCTATCGCCGTATAGTCGAACGAATATCGAAGGTTCTAGTAGCAACTAGAACGCTCGAGAAGTACAACGCCATCTATTGTCACATAGCGGAAACAAAATACTCGAAATGTGTGGAATATTCTCGATAATTCTAGGGATGTGGTATCGGCTGTAAAAGCGTTGCAGAGATGGCACGCAGTCAGTCAGTAATAGGAACTACTCGAAGCGAAATAGCGAACGGATCACCGAATGGAGCGAAGCGGAAGTAATGAATTGAGAATTTTAAAGTGTTCTAAGTGTTGAATACATTTTTTTAGTTGTACTTTGGTGGAACATTTGTTTATCCCGAACCACAGCGTGAAGTGAATTGTGATTGGTAGTTTATGGCGGTCTTTAAAATCTTTCCGCTTGCTACTATGGCGCCATCTTAATTGACTGACCCTTTTGGAGGACACTTTTTAATACACTGTTCTTTCACATACCTTTTTTTATTAATCATCGAGAAAATGTTTTCGAATGATACACATTTTTTGATTTGCGAATTATTTTTAATAGATTGTTTGTATTTTTTTCACGAAACGCCATAACTAATATTTAAAACAGACGTCATTTTCGAATCCACAACTTTTTAAAATTATATAATTTACTTATTATAATACAACAATTTGTATGATTGTCATCATATTATTTGAATAGTGTCTTATTATGTTTAATGAAGTGTGTTTTTTTTTTGACATATCATTTTTAAGAGTGACAACACTAATATTCGTGTGCGACTGGCAACACTATATCTTGTTGAAATTTACAAGCACAAACATCACCACTGTAATACTATAGATTTTCCTATAAATCACTTCAACGGTATCTCGTAATTAACATTTCACATTATTTCCCTAATAATTATTAAGTTACATCTTTAATACTTAACATTTATTTAAAGTTCCTCGTGCTTACCCAGACCTGACCTCGGTCTTGAAGAATGCATAGCACTATATCTGCTTCAAAGGACTTCTCCCATCGGGAGAATCTGTTAATAGCACCTACCAAATGTATGTATTTATATATAACGTCAATGGACTCCGATTACAATTGCAACATCAAATGGACTCTTAGATGAGGCAGTAAAAAAAAAAGAAATTGAGACTCGACCTCATACCTCAAGGCGGGTGGCGCCAATCACGTGAGATCGTAATTTTACTTCATTTAATTCTGAGCTTTCGATGACTTCAAACCGAGTTGTTGTACCATTGACATGTCTAAAACGCTGCCAAACGAACACACGTGATCGTACACTCTCAGTGTGCTTTGTGCGAGTTTTTTAACGTTCTCGATAGCGTAAAAGTTAACTCAAGTTTGTATGAACAGCCACCTTAGCGGCAAATGTAGGCAAACAGAAAAGTTTTTTTTAACCTACCTATGCTGATAGCCTTGAGAGGCTATTTCAGCTTCACCCTAACATGTAGGTGAGCTCACGGGGCTCAAACCGGAGTGTTGCTAACACTAGCTCTAGCAAGAGCAGTGCTTCGCAGAATCTATTACTGGATCGGAAACGCGACCCACTGAGTAAACGCGAAAATAAACCGCATCAGCACTCTTGATAAGGTTTAAGACGCGCGAAAGAAAGTATAATAATATATTTGTATTATATGTAAACACAACCGAAAATAAGTTACGAATAGTACCTCGGCTTCATTATGTATCCATATTCAGTCTTAAATCACAACTAGGTTAAGCCAAACCGTTTTTTTTTAAGCTAGTGCATAAATTTTATCGAGGGCTTTGAGAGCGGCGACCGAATCAAGAAATTCCGTACCGAAAATAAAACCTAACACCCATTCCGCCTGCCATGTAGTTCGCGCTCAACACATTCACACGTAGCGCTTGTGTAGTGTTTGTGAATAAGCGCGCGGTGTGACGTCGCACTGCATGCGCATCATGAAAAGTCTGCCCATCTCTCTCTCTCGCGCGGTCTAACTTATGAGTGTGAAGGGGACAGTTAATGTTTTGCTTTTGTTAATGTTTATAAATATAGCGTGGGCTTATTTTATTATTGTTTTAGTATTAAATTATTATTGTCTAATTATAATTGCATGAGTTGATAACAAATGCTATGCAATAGCTTTACCGCGGCAGTCCCCGATTGCCATACGTGTTTTTTTAAAATTTCGTTATATGATTCATTATTTATTCGCTATCATGATTATACGAAGAATTAGGAGCCTATAAAACAAAGTACACACAGTTTCGGATGTAGCTGTATAAGTTTTAATATCAACGGCAATTACCTTGCAGCTCAAACTTTAATGTACATTAACCGAACGAAAACATAAATAGTAATCATTTAGTATTCTCTTTAGTACCATCAAGTCAATGTCAAACGAAGGTAGTCGACAATAAACTAGATGTGACGCGTTAATGTCCTTAGTGCGAGTTTTTTAACGTTCTCGATAGCGTAAAAGTTAAAGAAACCGAAGTAACTGATTATTTAGTTGGCAAAAGCTCACTCGTTTTCACAGGGTAATGTTGCATTGCCGCGATCCTTTCATCTTTGATCATTACAAAAGGCGCCGAGTGGGCGGAGTCGGCGGCCTGTTTGTTTGTTTGTCACCGATTTAGTTTCGCATCTCGTACAGATGTAATACGTGTGTACAGTCAACCGTTCAGTTAAGAATTCGATAGAATTTTATAAGATGTGCGCTTAGTGCGAGTTTTTTAACGTTCTCGAGAGCGTAAGAGTTAACTCAATTTTGTATGGAGTTGGAACGTTTGCCTGCGTTTGCCGCTAGGGGCGCTGTTCCAACTGCATAAAAATTTGAGGTAACTTTTACGATATCGACAACGTTAAAAAACTCGCACACTGACGCGTAAATTACTCCCGCCCGACCGAGATCGGCGGGCGACACACAGCCTCGGCCGCCCTGGACACGTCATTTCAGATCCTCCCGATCCACTCTCGATGGTTTTAGGCATACCAAGCACCGGTTCTCCTCTCAAAATGCAACTCAATCCATAGACACAGCCCACAGTGTTTCTTGCCGGATCTTCCCAGTAGATTCTGCGAAGCATTGCTCTTGCTAGGGTCAGTGTTAGCAAACTCTCTCAGGTTGAGCTCGCCTACCTAGACCCCTAGGTTACCAGCGAATTTTCGTCGCGCACTGCAGTACCGTAAGTTTCGTGTAGCCGGTGTGGTGGAGCTCGATGGGGTTTAGTTGGTAGTCGATTATGCGGGTCAAGTGCCTCGCGGGCCTTTTTCAAGACACAGTCTCCTATGAGATATTGGGGGAGGTGGAGGACTTCGGTCCTTCTCACCCCTCCCTCTTCTTCTCTGGAGGCGCCGGAGTCCGACATAAAAAAAAAGCTACCAGCAAACAGGAAGAGAAAAAGCCAATCCGTCTTCTTACTGAGATGTTTTATAGAACACCCTGTATATATATTACAGTGAACAAAAAAAAAACATTTTAATAACATTTTCTCTACTATATATTTTTATAAATTTATTAAACTTATTACTAAAGAATATACAGTGTTTGCGCGGTCGATTCTCCCGATTTATTTTATCTCCGATGAGGGTAGTTAGTGTTTAATCCGAATTGAAATGTACAGAAATAATTTTAGTCTAAATTCTATATACCTATCAACATATTATACCAGTCTATACATGATGTTAATATAATTTGTATTGATATTCAAAATATCAGTTTAGCATCAGGTAATATTGTAACACTACATTAATACATAAATATGACATAAAAAGAATTTGGGTAAAAAAACAAGAGACTGGTTAAATGCTATAAAATTAACATTGTACATACAACAAAAGTTAAATGCGCGTATAATTTGCGTTATTAAATGTAGTCTTATAAGCCAGCACGGATAGGAAACACCTATCTTGCCTATTTCTGTTACTAAGCAGTCATGGTTTCCGGTCTGAAGGCACGACTAGACACGCCTTACTGCACAGATATTCCCACAGGAAAAATATTCCCAAGACATTAGTAATTGTCCTTGTTATGAATGTTTAATAAAGGTGTTGCCATTTTTCAGGTTTCTTTTTTTTACCAAAATATTCAATTTCTCGTAGTATAATTAGAATAGTAGGTTTTTAAATGCGTCTAATAACGACCAATTTACAACATTTAAAAACATTTTAGATTTTCAACATTTAAAAATATTTTAGATTTTGTTTCCTCTAAAATAATATTTATATTTGAAGTTTCAATACACAATATAATGGATCATTACGTTATGACTACTAAAGTGCGAGTGGGACGGGTATTACTAGAGTGTGAGAGAGATAGCAATAAAAATGGCAACGATGCGATTAAAAATAACAGCGTCATCTTGCGAGTAATTTCGTAGAAGAAAACAAAAACAGCTTCTTGTGTATACAATAACGTACTCAAAGAGAGGGGATATGGTTGTGTTGATAAAAAACACAGAAACATAAGATAATATGATTAATCCTGATTTATAGTTCTTCATTCGAAGCATAAGGTTCGATCTATGATCTCTTAATTGGCACTTTTGTATTTGATATAATAACTTATAAGGCAATTTTTTAATACATTTTTAATTATAGCAATTAATACTTTTAAAAAAAAGTCACGGAGTCGCCTAAGAGATATTTTAGGAAAATTAGATCTAACCTTGTGTTTCTTTGGATTTGCTTTTTCATGATATCCGTTTCTGACGTTGTTAATATCAGGTGACAGTCAGGGAGGGGGGGTTTTGGGTAGAAAATTGGATATAGCTTCTTATGGTAGCGCGGATTCGGAGTGGCAGTTCAGAGCAGCGTGGGTCCCCGGAAGACGAACTGTTGGCGCTAGAGCGGGCGCGCCAGGTAGAGCTGTCCCCGGGCCCGGGACACCTCCACGAAGCCCAGCTTGCTGTAAAACTGCTGAAGCTGCGTGTCCGCCGCGCTCACTGTCGTGTGGACGCCGTTCGCTCCTGGGAACATGGTGACCACATCATTACGATTTTGCTGGACTGAAGGGTTACTGGTAGTCCGTTAACCCACAGACACAGCCCACTGAGTTTCTCGCCGGATCTTCTCAATGGGTCGCGTTTCCGATCCGGTGGTAGATTCTGCGAAGCACTGCTCTTGCTAGGGTTCGTGTTAGCAACGTCGTCAGGTTTGAGCCCCGTGAGCTCACCTACTAGTTAAGGTCACGCTGAAATAGCCTCTCAAGGCTCTCAGCTTAGGTAGTTTCACCAGGGCAGGTAGGCAAGCAAAGGGTCAGTAAGGAGAGATAAGATTTGCTAACATCCGCCCCAGTGCTTCCAAAGAAGACCTAGCAACTCAGGAGGAGCTGCTTCGCGAATGAATCTATCTAGACCGATTGAAAAAAGTTTTACTTTCATTTTAAGGGATTTTATGATCTGGTATAATAGCCGGCAAACTTCTTGAGCATTTGTCGACGTAGTGGGGGTAAGTTTGCGCATGGTACACTCACGTGCAAAAACATTATTTACTCTGCGTCATAATGCAATTAAATTATTAAAATCAACATATGTATTTATTTATATATTTATGAGAACATCAACAAAAAATATAGTTTAATAATTGTAATAATTTTATCTTGGGGTAAAATAGATATTCCTTCTATTAAGTCAAAACTAGAGCTGTTGCCAGGTCTTGATTCAGTTGAAGCGAAGCTGGTATTTGTAATTTTTTTTTTCGTTATCATAATCTTGACCAACATCATCACTGTTTTTATCACCCGAGTTGCTATCATCGTGATGAGTCGACATAGGGATCATCGGTGTAGTTTACAACTCGGTCGGTTCGGTCTACTTTTTTGTCTATAATTAATTATTTTTTGAAGATATTCGATTCGTAGTAATCGAATGTAACTTTTTTCAATTACCAGCTTCCGATTATTTTCTGTTTTTTTTTTCCATCTGAAGCCTAGCTCTTTCATAATTCGTCGTAAACTTCATACCGAGCCATTAAAATTTATATCTTCTTTAAATTTTTCGAAGCCTTACTACGGTACGGAGTTTCGCTGCTTGTTATGTAGTTATTATGATTACATCTTTTTATTACAGATTGAACGAAACTATCCATTCCGGTAAATTTCTTCTTCCCTGATCTTTTCTTACCCGGAGTCCGAAACACGGCGAGCAAGCCAGAGCCTTTAGCTTCTTTAATAATGCACCTAACAGTATTCATGGATGTTTTTGTTGCTTCCGAAGTCTGTTTTACTTTTTCCATATCATTCTTCCCCTGTTTTATAATGAAGCAATATACGTCGTACACAATTTTTCTACCCTTTCTTTTGAATACTACACCAGTTTGTCGCGGCATAGTGTATTTTTTATAAAAAATCAACAAACACTCAACAAATAGCAATGGCAACAAAGTCAACAAGCAATTATAACAAAATATAACTTAACGATTAATAACGATAGACTTTCCACTGTACGCAAGCGTACTTTTGGGAGCAAGCGGAACGAAGGCGCGGTGCGGGACGCAAGGTTCGACTGATCTACCAATAACGCGCTCGATACGATTTCCCCTGCCGTCGCGCCTCACCCTCACCACCAAAGTGACCTAAAATTCGGTTCTGCGCAGTCAAGGTCATTTGCTCAAGAAGTTTGCCGGTTACTATAACTAAGACTTTTAGGTCAAGTCTTATTTTAATTTTAATAAAAAAAAAATTATATGAAAAATGATATTATGACATGAAATGAAGTTGCTTAATATGAAACATGGCATGAAATGAAATGAAACGAAAATGAAGTGAAACTATCGGTTAATAAACCACCGTTATTACACATTTAAACCTGAAGAAACACAAAATAAAAAAAATCACACAACTACACTCCTCGCGTTCCCGCCAAAAAAAGTCGATTAAAACAAGTGTCTTTTTTTCCTACCTAAGTTGATAGCTTTGGGAGGCTATTTCAGCATAACCTTAACTAGTAGGTGAGTTTACGGGGCTCAAACCGGAGTGTTGCTAACACTGGCCCTAGCAAGGGCAGTGCTTCGCAGAATCTACCACCGGATCGGAAACGCGACCCACTGAAAAGATCTGACGAGAAACTCAGTGGGGTGTGTCTATGGGTTAATTCACTCGTCGAACCCGTCGCAACGAGGACGGTGACCGGTGCTTGTGGTACCTAAAAGCACCGTTAATGGATCGGTAGGATCCGTAATGATGTGTTTTGGGCGACGTCGACTATTTACCATTCGGTCTACAGGATCGGGTATGAAGCGTCAGTAGATGTATATAGAAGCGCATGCGTACCGCTGGCCCGGAGCGCCGCCAGCAGACACGTGAGCATGCGCGCGGGCGCCAGCGAGTCCGCCGCCGGCACCGCGCCGCACCGCACCTCCGCCGCCGCGCCCCGCCGCGCCGTCTCCGCCGCCTCCGCCGCCTCCCCCGCACCGCCCGCCGCGCCGCCGTGCAGCTCGCGGATGTACTCCTGGACGACAAACACACTTGTACATCAACACTTCACTCAGTGGCCATACCTAGACAACGCGGTCACTTACAGCAAGTTTAATTATTACTGATGAAAAAAAAAATGTGTTTAAAGGCTTCGTCAAACAGAACGCGAACTTAGCGCGCGTCAGAGCGTTAAATTGACGCCGCGCTATGACGCCGAGATGTGTTGTACTACTATGGTAGTGTACCGTTAAACAGAGCGGCAGCGCTAGCAGTACGCAACGCTCTGTCGCGGTGTTAGGACACTTTGACGTCAGGCGTTGTCATTTTTTACAAATTTTATTTTAGCGTCCGAGTGAATGTGCATTAAAATACTGGGTAATGCCCGAAAAATTGATAGAAGTTGTTAGAAAATACCCATGCAACAATGGCACATCTGAATCACTCGACATCTTAATACTTTTAAATTTCACACTGCTATCGAAAGGCACTATGATTTGGCGGTAGTTACGTTGCGTCAAAGAGCGTTGGGCTCATCTAGTCAATTTGTGTGTCATGTAAAGAGCGCGACGTTAAAACGCAGCGCTAAGTACGTGATCTGTTTGACCTTTAATCTTATCTTATACCTTTAAACGAGCAATGCTTGTATATTAATATATATATAATCTAAATCTCGGAAACGGGTCCAACGATTTTCATAAAATTTAGTATACAGGTGATTTCGGGGGCGATAAATAGATCTAACTACGATTTATTTTCAGAAAATGTTGTTCTATTCGTGTTTTCAATAATCAATTTTATCGATAATCAACTTAAACAAACTTTTTTTTTTTATTGAAAGAAAATAACATGTAATATAATATCAATATGTAATTCGTATTTAAATATAATCGGTCATCCTCTAGTGACTACTAAAACGACAAACGAATTCCAACATAGAAAAGCCGAAAATAAAAAAAATTGTAATCAGACAAATAGTTTTTTAATTACGGCCTTAAACTACAAGATTTTTTAGCCTAGCATAGTTATATCAATCATCTCCAATGCGAAGGGCCTTCCGTTAAATTGCAATAACTTGAAACTCAAATGCAGTTTCCAAAAGAAGCCACATCTAGATTATTTTTTCACTATCCGACAATGATGTACTTTCCAAAACATTAAAAGCTATATAGTTCGCCAATATTACATTTAAAAATACGACTTTCTGTGGATCTACACTAATCCATATTGTTACGCCGGTAAGAGTATCGCCATCTATCACCAAATAGTCGAACGAATATAGAAGGATCTAGAACGCTCGAGAAGCACAACGCCATCTACTGTCAGATAGCGGAAACACAATACTAGAGATGTGTGGAATATTCTCGATAATTCTAGGGCTAAGGTATCGACTATAAAAGCGTTGCAGGGATGGCACGCAGTCAGTAATCGAAATTACTCGAAGCGAAACAGCGAACGGATCACCTGAAGCGAAGCGGAAGGAGCAAATTGAGAATTAAAGTGTTTATGAAGTGCTCTAAGTGTTGAATACAGTTTTTAGTTGTATTTTGGTGGAATATTTATTTATCCCGAACCCCAGCGCGTAACTTTTTTTTTCCTACCTAAGCTGATAGCCTTGAGAGGCTATATCAGCGTCGCCTTAACTAGTAGGTGAGCTCACGGGGCTCAAACCTGACGATGTTGCTAACACTGCCCCTAGCAAGAGCAGTGCTTCGCAGAATCTACCACCGGATCGGAAACGCGACCTACTGAGAAGATCCGGCGAGAAACTCAGTGGGCTGTGTCTAAGGGTTCATTTACTCGTGGAGCCCTTTGTCGCAAGCGACGGGTTCGACGAGAACGGTAACCGGTGCTTAAGGTACCTAAAAGCACCGTTAGTGGATCGGGAGGATCCGAGATGACTTGTTTGGGGCGACGTCGACTGTTTTCCATTTTTTCCGCAGGATCGGGAATGTAGTTACCGGCGGCCACGATGAGAGGGTTCTCGTGTCGTGCCGCTTTATCGAAGTGGACTGACTGCGCGCCATCCCTACAACGCTTTTATAGCCGATACCTCATCCCTAGAATCATCGACAATATTCCACACATCTCTAGTAGTAGTTCCCGCTATCTGACAATAGATGGCGTTGTAATTCTCGAGCATTCTGGATACGTCGATATGCGTTCGACTATTCGGCGATAGATGGCGTTACTCTTATCGGCGTAACAGTATGAAAGATTTAGTAAATACTAACCTTAGCGGTTTCGCTGAGGTCGGTCCTGTCGAGTAGGGACAGCGGGTACTTCTCGCACAGCTCCGGCACCCAGGCGATCTCCTGCAGCCGGTAGAACTCCTTGCTGTCGAGCGCGGCGCACGCGAACCCCACCACTTCCTTTCGAACACCTGCTCAAAACATTCCTCTTTTCACTATGGAGATATCGTTCTTCTCGCATTAAAACTGTATAATCTCAAAACTTACAAATTTTACACCAGAGTGTTTTAAAGGTTTAATATGTAATATTTTTAATATTAATCTTAATTGCAACATTTATTTTTTATTTTTTACATTATACAGTTACATTATCTGTCTTTTAAAGTAAGATAAAATTATGTATTAATTTTGTTAATAGTAGTCAAAACATAGGTAAACTAAAAAAAAATTAAATCGAATTACGCTCTTTTGACAGTATTGATGAGAAAAATACCGATGACACCAAATGTTTACGCATCAACTCAATTTCGAACCTTTTTGGAAATTGTACACTTTTAATGCGAAAAGGCGATATGTATTTACAGCACACTGTAATTTTTTTTTTTTAAGTGTAACTTCTAATGCGACTTCCAACAAGGTTGCGTTAAACGTTAAACGCTCCCGGGGAGGAGGGGGATAGAAAGAGACAGAGCGAGAGTGAATGCGTGCCACTCGAACGCACGCGCGTAGTATACTTGGTACAGGCCAGCGCGAGCGTTAGCAACGAGTAGCGGCCAATGTTTTAATGAAGTATTTCAAAATATATACTATATTTATTTTTCTGTGTATAATTGAATATATTTAAAACACAAATGTTGAAGATGTCGCATCTCCTACACACAGCTGCATTCTCTATTACAAGAGCAACCTGATTTAAGGATGAAAAGCGAAGAAAACCATCGAATCAAATCGAATCAGTCATCCCCATCGAATAAGAAGTTTCACTTCATTCACGTGCACCGTTTTTATTTATTTATTGCATAGATGGGTGGACGAGCTCACGGCTTTCGATCCATTTAATTATCTTCAATCTAAGGGCGCTGTAACTTAGAATGACATCTCAAAGTTGCGATGCAATCACTTGAGGCCAAAACGATTCGAACTTACCGTTCATTTTCGACGACGGCATATCCTTATTATCAGGGTCCGAGGGTTCAGAATCCGGCGTCGTCGCATCGGAATGCGTGAACGAGCCGTCGTCTTCCAATACCATACACAAATCGGGCGACAGATGAAGGAATGGTGCTATTAACCTGAAGATGTTAAAATAATCTAGATTAATTCAACGTTCTATCAATGTATGTGACAAAATATCGTCAGATATTATTAGCTTATAACTTTTTTTCTACCTAAGCTGATAGCCTTGAAGGGCTATGTGAGGGTAGCCCTAACGTGTAGGTTAGCTCTCGGGGCTCAAACCAGGAGGCGTTGCTGACACTGGCCCTAGCAAGAGCAGTGCTTCGCAGAATCTACCACCGGATCGGAAACGCGACCCACTGAGAAGATCCGGCAGAAACTCAGAGTGCTGTGTTTGTGAGTCAGTTTACTCGCCGAGCCCTTCGTCGCAAGCGACGGGTCCGACGAGAACGATGACCGGACTTATACCTAAGAGACTAATAATCCTGAGACAACGATGGAGTCCACAGCCTATTAACTACATACGTACATACGTGTTGTTTCGTTTTTTTATTGCTTAGATGGGTGAACGAGCTCACAGCCCACCTGGTGTTCAGTGGTTACTGGAACCCATAGGCAACTACAACGTAGATGACGCCACCCACCTTGAGATATCTGAAGCAAGCATTAGTACGATGACGTCACTATACATAAAAGAGCATAAAAGGGCGAAGAAAATTTGCGTAATTACTGGCGGTAGGACCTCTTGTGACTTCACACGGGTGGGTACAACCACCCTTTTTTTTTTTAGGTACAACCACCATGCCTATTTCTGCCGTGAAGCAGTAATGCATTTCGGTTTGAAGGGTGGGGTAGCCGTTGTAACTATAACTATACCTTAGAACTTATATCTCAATGTGGTTAGCGCATTTACGTTGTGGATGTCTATGGGCTCCAGTAACCACTTAACACCAAGTGGGCTGTGAGCTCGTCCACCCATCTAAGCAATAAAAAAAAGAGTTCTAAGGTCTCGGTATAGTTACAACGACTGCCCCACCCTTCAAACCGAAACGCATTACTGCTTCACAGCAGAAATAGGCAGGGTGGTGATACCTACCCGCGTGGACTAACAAGAGGTGCTATCACCAGTAATTATGCAAATTTTCTTCACTATTTTGTGCTGTTTTATATATAGTGACGTCATTGTACTAATGCTTGCGTTTCATTCGTAACGCGGATAAAAAGGATTAGTTTTGATGTTTTTTTTTGAACAGCCCGGAATGATGAGTCGGATCAATGAGCGTGAAGCTTTACCGGTCCGTGGGCAGCGACTGGAGATCGCTGGGGAACATGTCGCTGCTGACGTCACCTTCACGACACGTCTTGTTGTAGATCTCGTATATCTGTGTGGAGAGACGACGATATCGTTTTAGCGAGTAAGTACCGTTAGGCTATTAATTACAAATCTATATATATATAAAATGAATTGCTGTTCGTTAGTCTCGCTAAAACTCGAGAACGGCTGGACCGGTTTGGCTAATTTTGGTCTTGAATTATTTGTCGAAGTCCAGAGAAGGTTTAAAAGGTTTTTCTGGTGGTAGGACTTCTTGTGAGTCCGCGCGGGTAGGTACCACCGCCCTGCCTATATCTGCCGTGAAGCAGTAATGCGTTTCGGTTTGAAGGGTGGGGTAGACGTTGTAACTATGCCGAGATCTTAGAACTTTATCTCAAGGTGGGTGGCGCATTTACGGTGTAGATGTCCATGGGCTCCAGTAACCACTTAACACCAGGTGGGCTGTGAGATCGTCCAACCATCTAAGCAATAAAAAAAAAGGTAAATAAATGTGCGAATGCTCGGAATTAAATAAAAAAAAAACAATTTTGTTTTTCCATTGATGTGTCCTCCGTCGGACGGATTCCTTTTCTTTGTTTTGAGTTTATTATATACAAAAGTTTAGGTCTTTTATTTATCGATTGAGGCACTACGAAGTTTGCCGGGTCAGCTAGTTACTATTAATTATATACTAACGTGTGTCCAAATACTGTTAAAGTTATTGATAGCGCGATTCGGAAGCTTCTATTGTAACTGTCAAATAAGAGTTACTGTATGAATCACCTATGAATCTATTATTGTTGTGTTAAGGACATGAGCCTACTGATATCCTGACATATTCTGCTGAAAAGTAATCAAGCGTATAGGTCTCTACTTATTTTTCAATATGGCGATCGGCTTTTTTTTGTTGCTGAGATTGGTGGACGAGCTCACAGCCCACCTGGTGTTAAGTGGTTACTGGAGCCCATAGACATCTACAATGTAAATGCGCCACCCACATTGAGATATGAGTTCTAAGGTCTCAAGTATAGTTACAGATGGCTAAGGCATACGACGCGTACAGCCTCATCGGTACGTTCGTGATACCTCGAGTTCGTCGGCAGGTCGGTAGGGGCGCGGCGCGAGCGGCAGGTCCGGGGCCCGCGGCGGCGACCGCAGCACGTCGCCGCAGTCCACGGGCAGCAGGCGCCGCAGGTCCGCTACGACGCCGCCGCGAAACACCCAGGGCTCCTGGGCGCCACTCTCAAACGCTTCCCGCCAACCCTTCGAGAACCCTGTCGCAAAAAGAAAAAAAGCTAACTATACAATCTAGTATGAGTCACAGATGTTCTTTTTTTCAGTTTTGTTTCGCCATAATTGAAAGCCATCAATAGCTTCCTACATCTAATAAGATATATTTAAGCTAAGTGGCTTATCCAAAACGAATTCGATTGATCAAATTTGATACTTCACTATCTAACGTTATAAATATCGATTACAGTATCGATTCATGCAGTAGTCATACAAATTGAAAACAGAATAATTAATCGATTAGCTGTGCACCGCGGTCGCACTAGTCGCCTAGTGCTGCCAAGAAGCATTCATGTGTTCCAGTTTGACGGTACTTTTAAAATACAATTACGATTTGGATTTCAGGTCTCAGGGTTAGGCACTTTTGTTTTGTTATTGCTCTTGTAGGCAGATGAGCATACGCCCCACCTGATAGTGAGTGGTTACCGTCGCCTATGGACTTCAGCAATGCCAGGGTCAGAGCCAAGCCGCTGCCGTTAAGTACTCTCCACAAACCTCATTACTTACTTACGTTGTGGGCCGAGAGGTACTTCGCTTATTTAGTGCGTTAAAACAAACATCTATTTGTAGATGATCATTTATATTTACTGTAGAGTAATTCGATTTGGTAAATGATATAAATTTTCAAACTCACATGTGTAGCTCCCTTGGATGTTGTTCGTAATGTTCGGAGGAAACTTCCCTAGTTCTGTACAGAGAATAACAAAAGTTTTTAAAATGTTAAGAACCAAAAAAAAAAACTTAAAATTTTTACGCAATCAAAACGATTTTTTAAGGTTTGTTAATTCCACTTTTATTACGCCTACGACTCGCCGAGAACCGGAGATAATAATTACGAGTTAGTTTTGTGAACTAGAGAGTGAGAGAGAGAGGAGTGAGTGTTGAGATTACGGTTGATAGAAGAGAATGGAAGAGAAAAATTTGCTGTGCCGACCCCACCTAGTGGGATAAGGTGTAGAAAAAAGAAAAGGTAGTGTTAATTAGTTTGGTAAATAACTAGCCGTACTCGCCCGCTTCGCTGGGCATTTAAAATTAACATTATTATTTATTATCATTATTATTAGGGAGTCCAACACTCATATAAACATTGGCCTATCCATTAAGTACATGCATTTTCTACATGGATACCGAGTTTCAAGTCAATCGGATGCATGGTTCAGTAGTTATAAGGGAACATCCGTAAAAACCACTGTAGATTTATATATATTAGTATAGGTTAGCGTTTTTCACTTGTGTGCGCGATAGTACTTGCAAGCGAACGTACCTAACCACTTGAGGAAGGCGTCGAGCAGCGCGAGCACGGCGCAGAGCTCCCACAGGTAGGGCTGCAGCTCGGAGTGCAGGTCCCGGTTGGCGGCCCGGCCCGCGCGCCGGAGCACCCGGCGGCTGCGCCCCGCCCAGAACGAGAACCGCGCCCGCCGGCGGGTCCACTCGCTCGTCTGCACATACACGACATCTCAAGGAATTTCAATCCAGTATTTGTAATACAAAAAAATATGAGTGTCTTTCTTTCTGGTGAAAGATATAAGTAGAACACTAATATGGAAAATTGAACTAGAATTTTTGTGCTTTTACTTATATGTTTTTTTTATCCTAGCGACCCTAGTTACGACATTAGGCCAACGTGATTAAATTATTGTATTGACAATTTTCCTTGATGCGTGTTAAAAATTTAAAGTTAAATGTACGCTTTGAAGTTGATAGAAATTACATTAATTGATTATGTTACATGGATCGGTATAAGTCGAGCAACTAAAAGACTGTTAAAAAAAGGTGACCGCCATTTTAACGCGCGACAAAAACGGCGCACAGGGAACGTACATCATACAGCCAAATATTTGTAAAAAGGTGAAAATCATGTCCGTTGTCCGAAAAGTGAAATGATACGGACTAATGATGTGTGATGGGACCACACAGAGTGGGTAGCAAGGTGTCTTACCTCAGGGGCAGCGCTGGACCGGTTGGCTCGCAGCGTGGTGGCGGCGTGGCTGGTCAGCCAGTGGAAGTCGTGCAGCATCCGAAGAGCTCTCGCGCCGTGTTCGAAGGGTAGATAGAAGGCTTCGCACAGCAGCAGCAAGTCCTCAGCAGTTAGATCTTCGTTATCTTCCGGCCTAGAAACGATATTGAAGTTATACTTCTTTAGGCGCGTTATGAAAAATTGATGAGAGTGAAATTTTACGATGCGCACGCACCGTGACACAAAATTAACAGAAATGAAGTTGCCTACTAAATCGCTCATTACAATTGCGACCGACGTAACTTGGCGAGTCTGAATATAGCCGCAGGTGAACTTTCGCGCATGTACACTCGTAAAAAAAATTGTTATTAGCATTCATTTTTTAACGTTAAATATTTATTATTAATTCTTTAATATTTAAAAAAAAAGAAATAAATTTAATAAAAATAAAGTATAGCTTCTTATGCGCGTACATGAGTACACGCACCCTTTATTTATGCATCAGTCTTAGACTTTAAGCTATTACTTAAGCTTAAGCTTTTTACGTCTTGTGAGTCCGCGCGGGTAGGTACCACCACCTCGCCTATTTCTGCCGTGAAGCAGTTAGGCGTTTCGGTTTGAAGGGCGGGGCAGCCGTTGTATCTATACTGAGACCTGAAAACTCATATCTCAAGGTGGGTGACGGCATTTACGTTGTAGATGTCTATGGACTCCGTGTAACCACTTAACACTAGTAGTATGTATATTATCTTCGTTTTCGCATGTCGTAGACACGACTAAAACTATTTTTACCGTTTTAATCACAAACATACGTGACGTCACGCCTTGCCAAATGACAAATAGCAGTCTCAGTCTAGCAGCAAATTTCAATGTTTAAGCTATATTGTTTGAGCATATATTTTAACATCATTGAACAAACCTATCTCTAACGATTAGGACCAATAACATGGTCACAAAAAATGGAATTTTGAGAGACACGACTAAATTAATAACAAACTTGTAGGAATATACGACAAAGGGAAGATCTTCCACCGAGCGGGTGATATTGCTCGGTAGACCGACGGTCCAAATGTTGTTGTTCGGAACTTGTATATATGCGAGCTTATCTTGAAAATGTCGTAAGCGAGATTCAGGCATTTGTCAATTATCTTGCGTTGTATGATGGCTACCCGCCACAAACTTATACACTTGAACGGACTAAAATCTACTTAAATCTCTAGTCTTAAATATTTTTTTTAACTTAACCTAAATTTAAGATAAAAACACAGAGTATCCAAAACACTAAGTAGATTTGAATAAATCCAATATGGAGGTGAGTGACTTACTCATCAGTATTTTCAGTCGTGTCAGGCGGCTCCACCATCATGTCGGAGCTGAGTGGACTGTTGCTGGCCTCGACTTGCATTGAACCGTTCTGTATATAACAATAAAACAATAACAAAAAAAAAACATATTATGTATGCAATTCACACGTGGTAGAAGTGAAACCTTCAAAAATTAAAATACAAATTATCCTAAATGTCTAAGTATATGTAAAATGTTGTCATTAGTAAATAATTTTAAATCATCATTTATAGTATGAGGTAGCGCCCTCTGTGAATTGATATTTTAACTTCACGTATAATCCTAAATTAAAATTCACTACAAGAGGTTTCATACACACGTTAGTATTAAAAAATCTCATATATCGCGCTGTATTTAAAAAAAAACTACACTGAGAACCTCTAATGTGTTCTATCTCATTTCCTCGCCGGCTGAATCCTATACATTTATGTGTTTGTGTCTCTATGAACTTATTTTTTCGTTTCATCGAGTATGAAATCACAACGATTCTAAAGAAGTTTCACTTCAAAAAATATACAGCTTCTTAGAGACATCAACAGGTTCATGATGGAGATGGTCTACGGACGTTGAGCACAATGTTCAAGACCAGATGATGAGTGAGGATGACCATCCCAAGCTATAACATTTTATTTTTTCTACCTAATTGTTGGTAGCCTAAGGGGCTATTCCAGCTACGCCTAGACTGGTAGGTGAGCTCACGGGCTCAACCTGAGAGTTTGCTAACACTGGCCCTAGCAAGAGCAGTGTCGAAAACGCGACCCACTGAGGAGATCCTGCGAGAAACTCAGTAGGCTAATAGCATAGTGATCACCCTGACGAGAACAGCACAAAAGATTAAGATACTTCAGGTGGCTTACTGCCACAGGAGGGTTATTTAGTCCCAATTTAATCAATAACACAATTTATTATACACATTAGAACCATCATTTGTCTTGTTTTAAACCGAATTAAAGGGGATGGCCCATTTTAGGCCCAAAGCGGACAATAGATTATAGAAAAAATACTTAGTGCATTAATTTTGTCATAAATAAATATGCATTTACTTTCTTGCAAATAAGCGCCAGTATAGTTTGCAATAGTAGTTTAAAAAAAGTAACTCTATTGAAAAAACAAGGGTTTTTATTTTTGCGGGAAAAATATTGCCAGCTTCAAAACCTTTTACGTATAAAGTAAATATTTTGAGTATATAAATAAAACATATAAATAAATCATTTTAAGTATTATCATTAATCAATCGATTTTAATGGATTTTATGCATATAAAATAACATCGAAGACATACCCATTGGACTTTAACTTGTAACTATACTTGAGACCTTAGAACTTATATCTCAAGGTGGGTGGCGCATTTACGTTGTAGATGTATGTGGGCTCGAGTAACCACTTAGCAACACCAGGGTGGCTGTGAGCTCGTCCACCCATCTAAGCAATAAAAAAAACTTTACTAGTATTGTTATTTAAATATGTACAACTAAAACAAAAACATAAAAAATAATGTGTACTCGTAAAAAAAAGATTAAGATATAAATCAATTATCGGTTATTTAAAAAAATAATCGATATATGAATTTCATGTAATTATTTTTCTTTATACTGACAACACTGAATTTAATCTGACTGACTGATACTTCGCTTGCTGCTTGTGGTGTTGTGCTTGCGTACAAAATGGATGTGTTTTGATTTTTCTTCGATTTATTTTACTTTTATCAATAACGTTTCATACTACGACTAAAAAACATTGTGTGAATTGTGGTTTTACCCTGACCGAGATTTAAAACCGTGTATATGCTCTCCTTTGCTATTTTTAGATGATACTAATTGTGTATGAAGATGAAGAAAATATAGATATTTAAAGAATTAAGTGTGTTTTTATACCCTATTGGATAAAAATACATTAGGAACATCTTAAACATTAAGAAAAGAAAAGTTCTTGAAGTATCTCACAATCCGACACTTATTTATATAGAAAATTAACCTCAAAACGAGTTTTTATTTTTATTATATTTTTTATAATAGTGGCGTCAATTTCAATATATTTTTTAGATATCCAATACATTTAAGAATTTGAATCAGTACATTTTTATAGTAATATTTGATGTCCATCTTGGGCCTAGCACACTATGGAGAGTGGGCAATCCCCTTTGAACAGCTTACTCGTTAATTACAGTAGGCGCGAGAGTTCATGTCTGTCCTGAGGAATGCGGTAGTGCTATGACCTAGTTAATTATGGTAATGTCGATAATAACCACCGATTTAGTCAACAGCTGTCAATTTGGTTTAATGAAACTTAAGGTAATTTTGCCAATTATGAAATAAAATAAATGTGATAAGTAATTACTTATTTATTTCTAATAGAGAAATATATTTTTTAAATTCCAATTCAATCACTATCAAATGAAAAGATAACCCACAGATCAGAGTCGGAATCAGTATGTATCTTTTTTCAGTAGGTTTTTTTCTACCTGAACTTGTTGGAAGCGGAATAGTCATGTTTAAATAAAACAATAGCGTTAGCGTAAATTTTCGATATGGATAAGCACGCGTTGTGACGCGTCAAGGACAACACTCGACCTCAGACAAATGCGGGGAGGCGGGCGAAGGCAGAGCGAGCTGTCCCGCGCGCATTGCCTCTGGCCCCGATGGACATGAACTCGCGCGCATACTGTAGTTAGCATATAACTTAGATCTTATAGTAAAACTTTAACGAATTGAATGATTGAAATTTATATATGATAATGGTTTACCTCGCTTAAGCCATCGGTCATGACTACATCTGGATCGGTGCCGGTGTTCGAGGGCGGGTCCACGTCTAGGGGTTCGATGCCCGGCTCGGGAACTACACGGGTAGGACTCAAGGTTTGCGGGGTATCTGAATGAAGCAAATTGTGTTTGTTATGTATATACTGGTGGTAGGAACTCATGCGAGTCCGCACGGGTAGATACCATCACCCCGCCTATTTCTGCCGTGAAGCAGTAATGCGTTTCGGCTTGAAGGGACCTTAGAACTTATATCTCAAGGTGGATGGCGCATTTACGTTGTAAATGTCTATGGGCTCCAGTAACCGCTTAACACTAAGTGGGCTGTGAGCTCGTCCATCCATCTAAGCAATAAAAAAAATGAGTTCTGAGCTCACATGGTGTTAACAAGTTAATGAATCTCATAGAGACCGATTCATTGTCACTTATTTAGACACTAACTTAAAGTTTCTATTCCTCTTGAAATAAAATACCCTTTGAACACTTAACCTTGGAAAGCATGGTTGCTTCATGACAGTACATACAGTAGCGCATCAGTGGCAACTGGACATATAATCTTGTGAGCATATCCAATGAGAACTTAGGTACTTTGATTTGTAAGACTGTAACTGATACAATGTCTCTGATAGTGTTTCTCAAATATTAAGTGTAATTTCTATGGTGTTAGTTAATGAGGCCTGGTGAGCTCTGACTGACGCTATTTACATGAGCTCAAGCGCCACCTGTCGCACGCTGATGGCACTGCGGTGGAAGCATTCCTGGAGGTTCGACAACAAATGTACAAAGTGTCAGCATCAGATCAATAGTCGGGCAACATTCATTCATTTATCTATATATTAATACATGAAACAAAAACTTTGTACCCCTTTTTACAAAAATTGTACAGAATTGTACGGAGGTGTATGAAATTTCCCACACTTATAGAGAATATTGAGAAGGAGTGCAGAATGTTAATATTTTTTTAATTTATACTTAAAAATATGTACATACATTAAATCAATAAAAAAAAAAATTACACATACCACCATGTATTTGACACACAGACGTATGCATACTATTTGTTTATTGTCAAACTTTTCTTATTGCTTAAAGTCTGTGGTCATATTGAGAATAGATTAAATATTGTTTGCCTTTATTAATATTTGTCTAAAGTGTAGTCTTGGCGAAATCTGTGATTATAGAAGTATAATAGTCTTTGACAGTAAAATCATAATAGTGTACAAACTTATAATTTCAATTAATTATAGTTGAATTTCGACTACCAGGGGACTACTGTTAAATAAATAAATGAATGTATTCATTCAGTTGTTAGTGATATACACTTGGAAATCGTTTAAGAGCTGAAAATTTGTAGTAACTGATGAGTCAGTTAAAGTTCTTATGACAGCACCAGGTCGAGTGGTTTTACAAAATTTGTATTTTTTTATAAACACTACTCCTTCAGACGGTGAACCGGTCTTCATAAATCTATACTCATATTATAAAGAGGAAAGATTTGTTTGTTTGTTTGTATTGAATAGGCTCCGAAACTACTGAACCAATTTGAAAAATTCTGTCAGTTTGGAAACTACACTATTCCTGAGTGACATAGGCAATAATCTTTTTTGAAAAAAATTAGGGATCCTAACTAAAATTCCAATAACGTTACCTAAGATGTAAAAAAATTACCTAAAATATTCTTTACATCGCGTACCCTACGAAAACTATTGATGATAGAATAAAATAATGTACTACGACTTTGTAGAACACGTTATTATTTACAAAAAGTGTCACAACAGCATATTTCTAACTATTATAGTTATGCCGCAATAAGTGTTCTTTTATTTAAAAAAAATAAAACAACTTCAAATATCGTTGTAATTTTTGTTAAAGACCCGACCGTCGTCGTCGTGGCCTAAAGGATAAGACGTCCGGTGCATTCGTATGCAGCGATGCACCGGTGTTCGAATCCCGCAGGCGGGTACCAATTTTTCTAATGAAATACGTACTCAACAAATATTCACGATTGACTTTCACGGTGAAGGAATAACATCGTGTAATAAAAACCAAACCCGCAAAATTATAATTTGCGTAATCACTGGTGGTAGGACCTCTTGTGAGTCCACACGGGTAGGTACCACCACCCCGCCTATTTCCGCCGTGAAGCAGTAATGCGTTTCGGTTCGAAGGGTGGGGTAGCCGTTGTAACTATACTGAGACCTTAGAACTTATATCTCGAGGTGGGTGGCGCATTTACGTTGTAGATGTCTATGGGCTCCAGTAACCACTTAACACCAGGTGGGCTGTGAGCTCGTCCATCCATCTAAGCAATAAAAAAAAAAAAAAAAAAAAGCCGGAGCGGGCCGCTAGTTTTAAATATAATTGTAAAAATAGACTGACCTCCGACGCTCATATCCCCATTCTGCTGAACCTCTATGGAGGGTTCCACGTCGTCCACAACTATATTATCCTCTTCTTCCTTTTTATTTTCTTCCGCAAAACTGTCACTTTCCACAACACTAGGGTTCAACACTGCTTCACTCACACTTGGTATTTTGATGGTATCGTCCAAAGATTTCAAACCTAGGATCGGTACCGGTAACGTGGAAACCGGTATTTCTGAGGGCAAGGATATATTAGAACTCGCGATGGGGATGATAGGGTTAGGTATAGATTCGTTAAGGATCACTTTAGTGGGAGACACTAAGGAATTCATCACCGGATTTGCCACGGGGTTGAAGTTCTCGATCGGCGACACCTGCAAACAAATCAGAAGGTTATGTTGATTTAATTGCATCTGTTTGAGGATTAAGGAACCTGTTTATTTAAGATACGTCAAGATTGTATTATTTATATAGTCTTACAATATCTCATTAGAAGTGATTTCATACAATTCTGTGGGGTAGTGGTAGCACAAAAATAGTAAATGTTCCATATGAATAATTTTTAATTTCCTGTCTATTCACTGGTAGCCTAAGGGGATTTCCATGTACGCGCAGGCTGGTGGGTGAGCTCCAGCACTTAATCTGAGATAATTACTAACAATGGCTCTAGTAATGGCAGTGCTTCGCTGAATCTACCACCGGATCGGGACCGCGACCCACTGAGGAGAGGGGTTAAGTCACTTGTCGAGCTGTTCGTCGTAACAGTGACCGATGCTTGATGAACCTCAAAGCACCAGATCGAAGGGTGCGGATTCGGGGGGGACCGGCATCAATGTCATAAAGGCCGTTACACACTTAGAGACCTGACTTACAAGTCTCTGTTATATAGTAGAATGGCTCCCCCATACTACAAACCGGACCGAATTATTGCTTCACGACAGAAATAGGATCCGTGCCTTCCCGCGGCTAGCGTTCCCCAGTGCAGGAGCAGCGCGCACGTACCGTGGTGGCGAGGATGGGGCGGTCGGTGAGCGCCTGCAGGTGGGTGGTGGACAGCGTGGGGATGGCGGGCCCCAGCTCGGCGGTGGTGGTGCTGCACGTGCTGCTGGTGGCCGTCACCAGCGACATGCACGTGTTCACCGACGGCAGGATCGGGATTATCGGCACCGGGGGTACTGCAACGTCACGTGTTACTTTGTAACAATTGTAACCTTACTTATATTATCGACGCTTGAAAGGCAAACGTGACTAAGCGACAATGCGTGAACTTTACAGTAGACTAATTTAAAGTTGAAATACCTGAAAAAAATAATATTTTAACGAATCCAGCTGTAGGATTGAAATAATTTTAATAGATCTAGAAATTTTATTTTTTTTGCGCATCGAATATGGTTATTGCCTATCATTTATGTACAAATCAGTTATTGTCGCTTAGTCACGTTTGCCTTTCAAGCGTCGATATCTTATTGTGTTCAATACAGATATACGCTCAGTCTCAGACATCACTGAATGCACATAGGTGGGCAGCGGCTTGGCTCTGCTCCTGGCATAGCTGAAGTCCATGGGCGACAGTAACCACTTACCATCAGATGAGCCGTATGCTCGTCTCCATACAAAGGCAATATTTAAAAAAAAAACATGGTCTCAGAGTGTTCCTTAATAAGCAATACCATAACATATTGCTTGGAATTAAGCTATTCTGGGCGGAGTCCATAGGAGTTGAAACCGATGCAGTCTTACCCTTCGACTACATTACATTATGTAGAAATAACTTGAATCAATATTTTTTCTACGTAACTATTGTTTACATACTTGTCACTAACATTTTTTAATGACATCTCTCTTTAACATTCACAGATGGGTAATTGCAGCGAGTATACTCAAGTAATAGGAACTATTAATTACTGATAAGGTTTAAACAAAATCTGTATCTTATACCTCTTAAACGAGCAATTCTTGTATATTAATATATCTATCTGAATTTCGGAAACGGCTCCAACGATTTTCATAAACTTTAGTATACAGGGGATTTCGAGGGCGATAAATCGATCTAGCTACGATTTATTTTCAGTAAATGTTGTTTTATTCGTGTTTTCAGTAATCAACTTTATGACTCTTCCCGACATCTATTGGCGAATAATAATACTATTTTTCTTAATTGAGGGCAACTAACCGCTTTAAACACACAACAAGATCGTTATCTAGTATTTATACATTTGTAGAACAGTTTATTGATTTTTATTCTCAAAATAGCCGTACCTGTCTGCTTCGCTGGGCATTTAAAATTAACATTATTATTTCTTACCCCCACAAAGACTCTCATCATTAACGCCCCCGCAACTGGTGTAGGGAGTCCAACACTCATATAAATATTAGCCTATCCATTAAGTACATGTATTTTCTACATGGATACCAAGTTTCAAGTCAATCGAATGCATGGTTCAGTAGTTATAAGGGAACATCCGTAAAAAAAATAGATTTATATATTAGTATAGAGTATATATATCATATATTTATTATGTTTTGTCCTCTCGCAGCAAGTTTAGTATTCCCATTTCGAGTCTGACGTTAGTTATCCGGTGTCGCTCACCTATGGTCGGAGTTTGCGGCTTCACGACTGGTCCCTGGGCCGTCTTGGGTATAGAGAACTCGGGCAGCCACTCGTTTATTGCTTGTCTGTCGGAAGAGAAATGAACTTAGTACAGAGCGCTCCTAATACACTATTATTAGTGGTGGGACGTGTTGTGAGTCCGGACCTAAATTCGTACCTCCATCCTACCTATTTTTTCCGTGAAGCAGTAATGCGTTTCGGTTTAAAGAGGGGTACAGAGACCTTAGAACTCATGTCTCAAGGTGGGTGGTGGTATTTACCTTGTAGATGTCTATGGGCTCCGGTAACCATTTGACACCAGTTGGGTTGTCCACCCATCTTATTCTCAGTCGTATGCACTCTTGGGAGAGTGATCGTGGTTATCACTTCGGGTGGTGGTGCACTTCACCAGACGTAGCCATTCCTACTGCAGCCCTTCTTGTGCACTCGTTACCACCATTCACCCATATAAGAGATACATTTTTTTGGGGGATAGCGACAGAGGGAAGATCCTCCTCTGAGTGAAGTTGGTCAGCGGACCGGTGGCTCATCTCACCGCAGCGCCTGGCGAGGGTGGTAGACGTGGCGGCCGAGCGGCAGCGGGCTCTCGTCCTCGCAGACGCCCTGCTCGCTCTCCCTCTCCAGCTTTATGTCCCACGAGACCGCTTCCACTGCAAACAGAAACCTGAATCAAACCTAATAGTCTCCTTTTGATTGCTTCGATAATAAAAAGTCGGGTCACTCTCCAGTGCGTCAACTCGACTAGCAGGTCTATTTTTACAGGAATTTGTAACGTGAATTCTATTGTATTTATTTCAACAGATACACATGTTTATCTAGAGCAGCCTTTCTCAAAGTGAGCGATAACGCCCCCATGTGGGCGCTGTAGGCTTAAAGGGGGGCGGTAAGAGACCCAGAAATCTAAGCAATAATAATAATCATCTAAGCAATAAATAAATAAATAAAAAATAAAAAAAATGGGGGCGTTGTGTAGAGACTTGGGAGGCGATTTGTAATTTCATCTAGGAGGACTCTTAAACACCGCCTGAGCTCTCGCTATAGTGGTTATTAAGTAGGTATAAAAATGAGGGCACTAAAAAAGAATTTATTCCCAAAGTGGGCAGTAGACAAAATAAGTTTGGGAACCTCTCTCTGATCTAGAGTATAAACTGTCTAGTGTTGACTTCGGGTTACGCAAATCACGGACATAATTAAAACTACATTTACGATTTATTCAACACGCAAAGTATTCAAAACGTCAGAAACAAGATAGTGACAGCCCTAAAATAGCCGTAGACTCACTGGCGGCGGGCGCGTCCAGACTGCAGGCGGCCCAGTGCGCGAGCGTGCGCACGGGCACCATGTTGGCGTTGTACTCGCAGTTGGGGTTGGTCAGCACGCCCCGCAGCAGCGGGATCAGCTCCGGGGAGCGCCCGCAGTACGGACCTGCGGACGACGCTCGTCACTGATGCTGTGCAAGCCGGGCTATACGACACCCTGTCCGGTGGTAGATTCTTTCGCAAAGCTTTGAGATATTAAACCATCTTCGATAGGCGATCGAAGAATAGTCGGCGGGGGCCAAAACCGGTATTTGGTTTGGTTTACTGGTGATAGAAGCTCTTGTGAGTCCGCGCGGGAAGGTACCACCACCCTGCCTATTTCTGCCGTGAAGCAGTGATGCGTTTCGATTTCAAAGGCGGGGCAGCCGTTGTAACTACATATACTGAGACCTTAGAACTTATATCTCAAGGTGGGTGGCGCATTTACGTTGTCTAAGGGCTCCAGTAACCACTTAACACCAGGTGGACTGTGAGCACGTCCACCTACATAAGCAATAAATAAATAAAAACTTAATTCGAGCACTTGTCCATCGCCCTGGTGAAGCTGGATAGCCCTTTGAATCTCTAGCAATCATTTCATCAAAAATCAAATGATATGATATATTCTTCAAACCCAGAAGGTATTCAATATCAATTTATAGGTAGGTTCAAGGTATCAATTTATCTCCCGATCTATGTGCTAACATGGGCAGGTACCTCAGCAGCAAACATTTATATATTCTGCTTTGAAAAACGTGACAACTGTTTACAATAAATAAAAAAAAGTCAACTAGAATTTTCATCATAGATAGTAGTAGAACGTCGAGCATATATGCTTTTAAGATTAAATACGTGTACACGAAATATGCAGGCATTGTTGTGGGTAGGCTTTGAGGAGACATATGTCCAGCAGTGGACGTCTGCAGATGGATAGATAAACAGGAAAAATACATACTACAACACATACAGCAACCAACAATCAGATCAGAACTGAGTGATACAGTGCAATCAGTACCGGCCATTAACCCATAGACACAGTCCACTGAGTTTCTCGGCGGATCTTCTCAGTGGGTCGAGATTCCGATCCGGTGGCAGATTCTGCGATGCACTGCTCTTGCTAGGGCCAGTGTTAGCTAGATTTCCGGTTTGAGCCCCGTGATCTCACCTACACGTCAAGACGAAGCTGAAATAGCCTCTCAAAGCTATCAGCATAGATAAGAAAAAGTGTATGTGTGTGCAAGTCACACACGGTAGAAGTGAAACCCTTTAAATAAAATATAGATATACTGACTATCCCACTACACAGGAGCATACATATGGACAATGTTTAGTAGACGATAGTGGGGATGCTACGAAGAGTCGCACAAAGAGGAGACCGAGAATGTCTAATGTGTTCTGTCTCCTTCTTTTTTTTTTTTTTTTTTTTTTTTTTTTTTTTTTTNATATCACTGCTTAGAACGATCTTATCCGGTGGAAGATAAACGGACGCGATAACGATCGGCGCGTGTCCCGTCAGTGAGATTCGGCACACTGATGCTTCGATATTAGCGAGCGCGGGAGGATCGAGCGGGACGCAATGCAGGGCTCTTCTATAGTAAATGACGGTACCACCACCACGGGCAGAGAGCCTGTCGTTCCTGACCATGTTGTCTCCTTCTCTCGCCGGCTGAATCCCATACATTTATGTGTTTGTGTCTCTGTGGACTTCTTTTTTCGTTTCATCAAGTTTGAAATCCCAACGATTCTAAAGAAGTTTCACTTCAAAAATAATAAAAAAAACTGGCCATATAATAATTACTTCTATCAATTACCTAAAAATATCCTCTTTTGATCATAGTCATTGGCATGCAAGTTATCCCAGATGACGGGCGGCCGACGAAGGACCTGTGTTATTTCTTCTATGCACTCAGTCGTCAAGGTTTTTGATATGACTTTTGGTCCTGCGTAAAACAGATGCCTATTAAAGGGCGTTTCACAATAGGTACATAAAGTCGGAATGCAGCTATACTATCAACAGTTTAGACCACATAAAAACTAAATTATTAATTGTTTCTCTTTGATGACAGCCCTGTCAAAGTACCGTTAGGCAGTTCATTCACATAGTCCAAAAATGTGTCTATTTTAACAAATAGCATACTATTTCTGAATTAGCCAGAACAAATAATTAACACTATCCACATTTGCACGTCTATATGTTCCAGTAACAACTTAACACACAATGGGTTGTGAACATGTCTGACCATCAATAGAAATAAAAAGACAAGAAAAATCCAATCACTTGATTGAATCTAAACAATAGAATTTCAAACTAAGAGATCCCATAAACGTAAGTTATGAATTGAAAATAAAACATCAAAGGTCATTAACACTGAGTTCAATAGAGGTCATAAAACTCGCATGTAGTGTCTGGTCTGTGAACGGAAAAGTTGGTAAACAAAACATCACCTTCTAAGTAAGATGACACATACATTTTGTTTGTATTCGTGACATGTGCTTTACTTCCTATGTATCATATAACTTACGTGAAAAATTTCAGTGTCTTTAATGTATATTTCCATTATAAATATAAAAAACATGTCTACCAGCAAATCTACCTTTAATACTGTACTAATAAAATAAATAAAAACATTTGCGGAATCTTTACTTAAATTATTAGAGAAACTCATTTTATCTTTCCAATTGAAATGTTTAAATATTTCAAAGTGACACTACCATGTGGTTTAGTTCCCACTATATTATTATGTTAATAATATGATAATTCAATGATTTTTCTTCCAGGATCTACGTCCTATCAAGCTGAATAGACAGCATTGATTATCAAGGGTTGGTAACTATTATACTTAACACCCAATATAATTGACACCTACCCTCTATACAACAGAAAAAAAAAACAAATTGTGAATGTCCATTTATGAAGAACTACTATAAGGTGTCTATAACAGATTGTTTTAAGAATATTGTTAATATTACAGATCTAAATCAATTGATATTATAATAACTAACCTGTCCACATTATTTCAATCTGTTGAGAAAGTTTAGAGCCAAGGGTGTTCAAGTATTCTGAGCTGGTGACAGTTGGAACAGCTCGAGTCGAACAGTACTGAGTGGGACAGAGTAAGAACCGACAGCATCCCAAATGCTGGTGGATCTCATTCGTAATTGATACCTGTTGAAATAATTCTTAAAATAAAACACTATTTTTCTATATGAAACTAGCTGACCCGGCAGACTTCGTAGTGCCTCAATCGATAAATAAAAAATCTAAACTTTTATATAAAATAAACTTAAAACAAACAAAAGGAATCCGTCCAACGGGGGACATATCAAAGGGAAAACAAAATTGTTATTTTTATTTAATTCCGAGGATTTTCATATTTATCTACCGTTTAAACCGTCTCTGGACTTCCACAACTGATTCAAGACCAAAATTAGCCAAATCGGGCCAGCCGTTGTCGAGTTTTAGTGAGACTACTGAACAGCGATTCATTTTTATATATATAGATTTTCACATGAAATTTTATCTTTTTAAATTTTTCCAAAAGCACAAAGCAAGGATCAACACTGCAATTCTAATATTGTGAAATATGAAATTCTTCACATTAAACGAGGTTACACATTATGTTGTAGGGACCACAAATATCCCCATTGCAACTAATATTTATATGTATATGTTAGTGGTAATTATATTGCAATGGTGCTACGTCAGTCTCGGGATTGCCGGGCTGTCGATAGCATGTTAGGTTGTAATCCCAATAATGTGTTTGCTACATACACATAGAACAGATATATTCAGGTTGTTGTAGAAACAAGAGTTTGCAGTTATTTTAGACATCAATGTGAATTGTTTAAATAAAAAATTATATTCTAAAATACTTACTTGTGCATGTGCAAAACTCTGAAACGTTTGTTTGTCTGCCTCACTCATTTCTGGTTCAATGTCATCAAATAGCAGTGCAAAACAAGTGCATCCAAATTGTGAAACCTGAATTGAGTTTTAGTTTGAATTTATTGCTACAATTTTTGTTTATCACAATTAAATTGACTAGAACTGATATTCTTAGGTTTTATGTGAGTAATATGAAGAGTATCCAATGTGGTCAGGTGGCTGAAAAGCCTTGAGCAAATAAGATTAAAATTACTTCTATATTATCCTAATAAAAGAAATATACCTGTTCTAATTTACGTTTCAAAGTTGTTATCTCCTTCTGGCTGCTATATGTGATATCCAACCCTGGTGATAATGCATAGCAAAATATGATGCCTTGGGCTTTAGCTGCAGCTATAAGGGAAGTGAGATGTTCAGCTTCCTCTACAGTGTACAACTCTCTCCAGTAAGCTCTGTGTTTATAATCATCTTTCGGTGCATACACGTACATGTCCATACCCCATTTTTTGAGTCTGTGTATAAGTTTATGAAAAAAAAAGAAATTAGTAACTGTGTCACAATTTTCTAATTTATAAAAAAAAACATATTTTACAAGAACATTTAATTCTTAACTGATTTTACTTCGTTCAAAGATTTTTTTATAAATATGCACACAAACTAGCTTGCAAAGAATCTTTTTCAATTGTAGACCATAGAAGGAGCAATTAATCATCAACTGTGTTTATCAATGGTTATCAGACTAAAAAGACAATTTAGTTAAATTAGTATTATTTTTCCCAGTTGTTTTGGGAGCATTCTTAATTTAAAATGAAGTAAAATTAAACTTTTATAAAAATCATCTTTGAAAAATATTTCTTTATCATAAAAAAATGTCGCGTATCATTTGGTAGTTCAAACTATTCTCCTAGACGCTTTTGTTTATTTTGAAAACTTCTCGAAACTTAAGTGTTAGAAGATTTTTAGACTATTATAATAAATTAATTGGAAGAAAATATTGCTTACTTTTGGAATAGGTCCTTTCTTTGTTCAGTTGTCCATGGGCGGCCGTAAAAGCCTGTAAAAGTTACGCTTGGTTCATTCACTCAGTCAAAAACTTGGCAATAACTATATATAAATATAGTAGATATTATCACAAAACTTTCTAACTAAAATATAACTTTTACCTTCAACTACACCACAGATAAAGTCTTTGCGCTTCGTGCTCGGTTCATCTGGTGAACTTTCCGTCATTTTCAATGTGAAAATAAAAAAATACAGCAGAAACCAACTAGCCCACACACAGGTGGCTTTCGAATATTATACTAGAATAAATACGCAGAGTTTGGTGATTCACTATTTGGCTATGACAGTGTATATTAACTGTTTTACTTATTTTATAACTTCAGAGACACCGGTCAGTAGATAGCGGTGATATTTATGAATTACTTTGCTTCTGAAGCAGATATTTCACAGAGAAATCGTAGTGGTATAAAATTATGTCAAGTTACTGCTAGTGTCAAAAACGATACGACATCGCAACGATTCTTTACACGAATAATGTTAGAATTTCCAAAACAGCCACATTCGTCTAAAACCTCAAAAAAAATATTTACAAAAAATTGTCAGCTGAAAAACATTGTATCCAATTGTTTCCAATTTTTACTAAAACATAAAAGTAAATACTTAGTTATAAAAAGAGTTCTTGAAAAAAACTCCATACTTTTAGAAGTTTGTTATACACACATATCTAAGAAGTAATGAAAGAAATTGTGTCGTTTTTTAATAACTACCTACTAAAAATAAATTTTCATCATTTATTTTCCATTCTTCTTCTCTGTCGTTTCCTCATTACTGAGGGTCGTGACCACCTTGGTCCAGTTTTTGCACCAGCTTCCTCCAATGCTGCCTGCATTCGGCCTGCTTAATGGCGCCCGGGACGCTGGTGTTTGTGGCCTCCTTGATAATGTCCGTCCACCTGGTTGGCAATCTTCCTCGACTTCTCTTTCCTTCCACGTGACCTACAACTATTAATTTTTCCAAGTTCTCGGGATTTTGTCGGGCCACGTGTCCGAAGTACTTGAGGAGACGCTGCATGCAGATTGTAGATAGACGGGTCTTGACGTTTAGCTCCTCGAGAATTGACACATTTGTTCGGCGCTCCGTCCATGATACGCCCAACATTTTGCGCCAACACCACATTTCAAATGCGTCAATTCTCGATCGGGTACGGCCCTTGAGGGTCCACGTCTCAGAAGCGTACAAGAATATGGAGAAGATAAGGGTTCTCATGAGCTTTATCTTAGTTTTTTTGTTTATGCTGCGATTTCTCCAAATCTTCTCCAATCGCTTCACGGCTGATTTTGACATCTGGGCCCTCCTGACCACCTCCCTGTCACAATCACCGTCACTGGATATTAATGACCCCAAGTACACAAATTCCTGCACCACGTCCAGGTCACGCAGTTCGTGAGTGCGTGTCATTGTGCCAGCTCTATCGACAAACATCAATTTCGTTTTGGATCGGTTGATGCAAAGTCCGTAATCTTTGCTAACGACTTCCACTAGTTGCGAGGAAAAAGGGTGACAATCTCGAAAGACTTCTCATCACCGGCAAAGTGGAAGGAAAGAGGCCTAGGGGGCGTAGTCCCATGCGCTGGTCCGATCAGATTAAGATGACTTTGGAATCCAGCATCAATGTCGCTATCCACTGCGCGGAGGACAGAAGTGAATGGAGGAACATAGTCCTAACAAAAGTGCTCAGTAAAGGTCACGACCCTCAGAGCTGAGGAATACGACGCACGGAGCAGGAGTTCAAACACTTGTTGTAAATCACTTCGATAAAGCGGCACGACACGAGAACCCTCTCATCGTGGCCGTTGGTAACTACATTCCCGATCCTGCGGAAAGAATGGATAGCAGTCGACGTCGCCCCAAACACGTCATTTCGGATCCTCCCGATCCACTAACGGTGCTTTTAGGTACCTCAAGCATCGGTCACCGTTCTCGTCGAACCCGTCGCATGCGACGAAGGGCTCGACGAGTAAATTAACCATCAGACACAGCCCACAGTTTCTCGCTGGATCTTCTCAGTGGGTCGCGTTTCCGATACGGTGGTAGATTCTGCGAAGCACGGCTCTTGCTCGGGTTCGTGTTAGCAACGTCGTCAGGTTTGAGCCCCGTGAGCTCACCTACTAGTTAAGGTTCCGCTGAAATAGCCTCTCAAGGCTATCAGCTTAGGTAGGAAAAAAAAAAATTGGGCCTTCTCTCTCACACATTATTTTCGACAAAATAACCGACCGCGGCTGTGTGAACTGTGAAATGTGAATCAGTGTGAAATTCGAGCTCCGAGAGGGTGTGCGTGTTTCTAAGTTTCTGTTATTTAAAACGGTTTTGTGGAATTTTTTGTTGGAGATAATGGAATCGTGCGGAATTTTTTATTGGAGATAATGGAATCGTAAGTATTAATTTATTATATTTTATTTACGTGGAGTAAATGTTATTTGCATTTTATGACAAAAACAGTTTTTGAAGCCACGGTACGTGTAGGTCACGCCATTTTTTGAACATAACGGTCGTTTTTAGTTGGTCGTTTTTAATAGAAAAATTAATAAAATCCAAACGATTTTTTGTAATGAGATCAATATTTTAATAAACCTAAATAAAAGTATTACAAAGGACATGTATCTTATATTATATTAGTCGTAAATGTAAAAATGTCGACTTCAAAGATGTGAACAGACCAAAGCGTCCGTATTAGTAACAGACCGAGTTTTACGTAATGCCGGCCACTCACATGCGCGCGAACGTTCGTACAATACGAATGTTTGTGAATGTGAAGGGCTGTCAGACATTCATTCGCAAACTTAGCGGCTGTGCAAATGGCTCGGTATTCAATTTGCGAACCCGTTTGCGCTTCTTCCTACACTTGTTTACGAATGTCTCACGAATTTCTCTTCTTTTTTAATTCGTCAATAGAACATTGAAGAGAAAAAGAGTTTTTAATTATTTCCCAGGCGCTATTAATGGCCATCCTGTTTTTATGGGATTTCTGTTGAGGGTCCCATTTGGTCGATTCATTTTGCAGGAGTTCAATGAACTCCATCACCTTGGTGTTGTTCCAATCCATGATGAAGGTACGCTACACAGTAGACGTCACGAAAGAAAATGGCGAAACGTCCGTTACCTTCGCAATCGTGGGCGCAACTGGTCACACGAATGTGTGGGAGACTACGCGAAGGATCGCGGTTCGCGCGCTTAGATGTCCGTTAAAAAACCGACTAGTTTGGAAAACCGCGAATGCAGGGAAAACTTTTCATAATCATTTGCAAATGTCGTCCTACACTTGTGGGTTGCGTATTCGTGCGAATGTGAGTGACCGGTATAACAAAATTGCCGCTGTTGAACAAATGCACATACGGTATTTGAATTTCAAATTTTTTTTTGTTTTTTTGTTTTAGGTATTTGATTTTTTTTTATTTTATAGCAGTGATTGGATCTTGAACTAATTTATACTTTTTTATTTCCAGTCAACGTGATGCAGCCCGTGGCCGAGGTAGAGGTGGTCGTGGTGGCGGTCGACGTATCCGGACGCGTGATGGTAGTCGCCACCAAGCCCGGCCTTCGGCCTCTGAATCGTAATTACCCTTATTTTTATTAATTTTTGTTTGTTTGTTTTATTGCATAGATGGGTGGACGAGCTCACGGCCCACCTGATGTTAAGTGGTTACCGAAGCCCATATACATCTACAGCTTTTTTTGTTTGTTTGTTTTATTGCATTGATGCGTGGACGAGCTCACGGCCTACCTGATGTTAAGTGGTTACCGAAGCCCAGATACATCTACAACTTTTTACACAAGCTCATTTCATATATTTAATTTAATGCTAATATGCATCTCAGACTTCAATCAATGTCTATTGAAGAGTTGCCACCCGGCCAACCATAGGAGAACCCACGGCACCCTAAGAGGGTAAGGGTACTCCCTCCTAAGGTCACGAAACACCCAAGGTGTGTAGGTATTCTGGTACTTTTAAAAATTTTAAAGTTTTTTAACAGCAAAACAGTATCTGTAGCTTTGTTTTCAGATCGGAATTGTGGAGATCGGACCTTCCGACTTCGGACATGGATGTTTCGGTGCCATGTAAACTATATTATTCAATAATATAACCTATTTTATAAATAATGAAAAATATACTACAGAAACGAAATTTTTGAGCCATTAAATTTATTAAATTTTTATTCAATAACTAGCTGACCCGGCAGACTTCGTAGTGCCTCAATCGATAAATAAAAGAGCAAACTTTTGAATAAAGTAATCTTAAAACAAACAAAAGAAATCAGTCCGACGGGGGACACGTCAAAGGAAAAACAAAATTGTTATTTTTGTTTAATTCCGAGCATTTTCATATTTATCTACCTTTTAAACCTTCTCTGGACTAACACATATAATTCAAGACCAAAATTAGCCAAATCGGTCCAGCCGTTCTCGAGTTTTAGCGAGACTAACGAACAGCAATTCATTTTTATATATAGAGATTAAATATTCTTTCTATTTTGTAGTATTTCTTCGTCCTCTCGATCTCTCGTCCTCTTCGCGAAGACGAAATTACAGCTCTGCTGAATTACGGTAAGTACATTATGACATCAACTTTTTATCAATACTCGCGAAAGTAAAATACCTATTAAAATCGAAACCATAACTTATAACTTTTTTCCTTTTAGGCAGCGAAGAAGACTGAGGGAGAGGACGAAGATATTGTGCAGCGCCGCTGGTGCCCCGGTCGACCAGGATGTGGCTGGACGAAGAGGATGAGGAAGTTGAAACAGAAGCGGAGAGGCTTAATATTAATTTGGAGTGGCCTCAACCTCTTCGTCCATCCACGTCTGCCCCAATGGACGACTCACCGACGTCAACATTCGAACCTAATAATAAATTTAAATTCGAATGGAGAAATGTGTTGATGCCTCAAATGGAACCTCATTTAAGACGATAACCTTTCTCCGAAATCAGTGGTCCAACGGTTTCTTTCGCGACTCCATACGAATCATTTATTGCCATATGGGGTCGTGAAATTATGGAAGTGATAGTCACGGAAAGCAACATTTACGCACAGCATTCTGAAGTCGTCGTGGCCTAAGAGATAAGACGTCCGGTGCATTCGTGTTGAGCGATGCATCGGTGTTCGAATCCCGCAGGCGGGTACCAATTTTTCTAATGAAATACGTACTCAACAAATGTTCACGATTGACTTCCACGGGGAAGGAATAACATCGTGTAATAAAAGTGAAACCCGCAAAATTATAATTTGCGTAATTACTGGTGGTAGGACCTGTTGTCCGCACGGGTAGGGACTACCGCCTCGCCTATTTCTACCGTGAAGCAGTAATGCGTTTCGGTTTGAAGGGTGGGGCAGCCGTTGTAATTATACTGAGACCTTAGAACTTATATCTCAAGGTGGGTGGCG